TTACTATTATAAATATTACACCGTGTAGACAGTGCGAGTTTAAAGTGGCGGCCATGTTTTTTATAAGGAATTTGGTTAAGTTAATTTAATCTATTGGTTTATTCTAAACTTTGTATATACGTACAAATTCAACTATTAAAAATGTTTCGCTTTAAATATACATTTCATACATTACACTATATTTTATTACAGAAAGAGCACAAGGTACTTCATCTTGTCCTTGGTTAAGAATTTATTATTATTATTATTAAGGTTAATTAGTTTATACCCGTAGTCTCCAACCTCGTGGGTTTTCTCCGGGTCCTCCGGTTTCCTCCCACTGCTAAAGACCCCTACGCGCAAGCGAATTATTGAAATAAAATGAAACCATTTATTATTAAGCCCGAAATGACCTAGTTTGTGTCGAGTGGACGTTAAAGCCCATTTCTCTACCTTTCTCTTTATACCTGTATATCTCATAGTGGTTAACAGGGAGTGGTTTCCCCTTTAACATATTCACGTATTATGAATTAAATATATAACATGATTTAAAATAGTAATCAGGTCTTATTATCAATATGTAATATATACTGAGCGCCATGGAAACGCATCACTTTTTTCCCCAAATATTTTATTACTAGGAGGTTTTTTATGTTTAATATTATGCAATACTATGAACTATTGTTTCACACAATGCTCCCAAACGCAAAAAATATCGGCCCGTGTGCACAAAAAAAATTGCACGAGATGCACATGAAAAAACCAATATTCACGTGCAGCATTGTGTGTGAGCCCTTTAAAAGCATGTTTTCAACTTAATGTGCAGTACATGAAGTGTGAAACGTCAATCTGTCGTAATTTGTTGTTGGACGTGTGAAGGAATCGAGGTAGAGATGCCGAGACATACTGAAAATCAACGGAATGAAGCCACGGGAATGTCCAGGGCTGGCATGTCTACACGTGCTATTGCCAGACACTTTTGTAAGGTCGGTGGAACGTGTTCGAGTTACTGGATCAACACGTGACCGTCAACGTCCTGGTCCACAACGCGTTACAACCCAGGCTCAAGACCGCTACATCCGGGTCACTCATCTGCGTGACAGATTCCGCCCAGCGACTCGAACAGGTGCAGCAGTCGTCGGAAGACAAGGACCAGTAAGTGCCAACACCGTAAGATGTCGTCTAAGAGAAGTAGGACTCCGTGCACGACGACCTTATGTTGGAGCTATCCTCGGGGATCATCACCGTCAGCGGCGTTTGATATGGGCTCAAGGACACCAGACATGGAGAAGAGTAGACTGGCAAAGTGTGCTCTTCACTGATGAGAGTCGCTTTCATCTTTATCACGCTGATGGCAGTCAAAGTGTGTGGAGACGTCTTGGGGAACGTCTTGCAGACTGCTGCGTCTTCGAAACGAATCGATGGGTGGCGGAAAGTGTAATGGTGTGGGGAGGCTTCACATGTCATCACCGGACCGCCCTTCACATTTGCAGGGGTCGCGTTAATGCTGTAGCCTACCGTGATGATGTCTTGCAACCAATTGTTGTTCCGATGTTTCGAGCGCACCCACAACTTCAGCAATTCCAACAGGATAATGCACGTCCGCATACCGCCCGTTTTAGTATGGACTACCTGGCTGCTAACAACATCAATGTCTTGGACTGGCCAGCCATGTCTCCGGACATGGCACCGATAGAACATGTCTGGGATGAGATTGGACGCCGTCTGTATCGGAGACCACAGATGCGCACCATTGCTGTTTTAGAAGCTGCTCTTGTCCAAGAATGGAACAATTTGCCCCAGGCCTTCTTTCAAACATTGGTAAATTCCATGCGACGTCGTTGCACAGCGTGCGTAAGAGCCCGTGGAGGACACACAGGCTACTGACATCTGTGTCGTACTTTCGGTTTTGACCCCTCTGACTTTGTACCGTTGATTACAGATTAAACATCCATTAGTGTACAAATGTGTTGTTATTGATGTGTTCCCATTTGAATATTGTTCACAATAAGAAGCAAAATAAATAAGATATGTTTACAGGATCATTTTGTTATACGAAAAACTAAGTGATGCGTTTTCCATGGCGCTCATATTATTTTAATGAATATGAGTGGATTCATTTTATATGTTTGATTAGTTATACATGTTATTTATATTAAAGTTGTATAATTACAGGGGTTTTATAGAAGGCTTGTTATTTACTGTTTTGTAAACCCGAACCGGTGTGTGATTAATCTATCCGTAATGTGAAATCGGCAATTTTATTTGTGACCAGGATCTGGGGGCGTACCGACACGGGCGGTAAGATTTACAAATTTCTATTGAAATCCACAAACATTTTAAGTTAGATCAGATTAATTACTACCATATTTCGTTTATTGAACGTTTTTGGTAGCAGATGCTATTTTTGATTTAACAAATATATCATTTGTGTGAGAAAATATGACTTTCATCGATTATCATAGGAAAGGGACATAACTCTTGTTTATTTTCGAGGAATGAGACGACCTGTATTCAGCGTATGAATTGATGTTCTGGCATGGTTAATTATCATATAAAAGCCCCCCCCCCCCCCGCGGTTAAAAAAACACCCACGCACATCCGAATTGTCAAAGTATGTCGATCACAAAGTGCTTGTATGAAATTTTAAACAAACGAACTAGGTGTAAATTATATGGCTAAAGTAACAATACCGTAAGAATGTTTACATGCATGCCCAAAAGCACACGACTGGTTTTGGCCGAGACAGTTTCTCCTGCCAATCCCTTTGTTATTGGTGCAGGACGGAGAGTCTGATTCGGAAAAGTTTCCGAGGGTAAAATTTCCCTCATAGCACACTGTATGGCGTATGCCCGTCTTCATTAGCCCAGGTTAGGAGCAGAACAGTAGGACGTTAAACCCCATTTCATTTCATTTCGGAAAATGTTCCCAATTGCAGAACTTGTTTAATCCTGTCCAAATATGTAGGACGTTAAACTCCTTTCCATTTTTTCATACCTCAATATTAATTATATTTAGAGATACATTATGTAAGATTTAGATAAAGAGCTGGCCATTCTTGATAATAGCTCAGAAATAGATAATGTTAACTGAAAATATTGTTGAAAATTTCATTCAAATTAATTCATTCTGACTAATTTCAAAACAAGGGCACGTAACCTATCTTTTACTCAAAAGTGTCTGGATGTTATGGACGACACTTGGAACCGGTTTTCAGTCTATTATTTATAGATGATTAATGGTCATAGCTTATTAAGTACAACCTGATCGTTTATTTAGTGACTAGGGGATATTTGATTTTGGGGGCATAATACTAAAATATGCAAATGACTACGAAAAAAGTCACTATAGAACCTAACAGAAGAAACATTTCCAGTTACATGTGACGCCCAAACGCACCAATAGCTACCGCATGGAATGCAGGTGATGCTTGGGATCATCATGGGGGTCCAACCCAAGATTTGCACGACTCTGACTTTGAGTGTTACAGTCATTGTGGCATTGAATTCCAGGGTGGAAACATCAGTTTAATTGTTTTAGTGACCAGAAAACAAATTTTGATATGCGTCGGCTTACCCAAAATGAAAGGTTACGTGCCCTTGGCATGCTACAGATCGGCACAACACAGGCGGTTGTGGCGCGGACAATGAATGTTTCTCAGTCTGTCATAAGCAGGCTATGGTCCAGATACCGTGATACACAATCTGTACAGGACAGACCACGCTCAGGTCGACCAAGGGCGACAACTCAAGCCCAGGATCGATTTATCCGTACCTTGGCCTTGAGAAATCGTGTCATCACAGCAAATCAGATCAGCGATCGTCTTCAAACAGACACTGGTGTGAGAGTGAGTGGCCAGACGATTCGGAATCGACTGCATAGGGGTCACCTTCGCGCCCGACGTATTCGCGTGATCCCTTGTTTGAGAGATCATCACATTCAGGCAAGACGTCGTTGGTGTAGGGATCGTCAACACTGGGATAATCGACGCTGGAGCAATGTGATGTTTTCAGATGAGTCAAGGTTCACTGTTGATTTTTTGGACAGACGTAGGAGGGTGTGGCGTCGTCGAAACGATCGATTTGGGGGTGGTTCTGTTATGGTGTGGGGAGGCATCACTGTTGCTGGAAGAACGGCTTTACATGTTGTTGCAGGGCGTGTTACAGGCCAGTACTACCGGGACAACATCTTGGCAGTCCATGTTGTGCCGTTGGCACGACGTCATGGCCGCCGTTTCATCTTCCAGGATGACAACGCAAGATGTCACAGGGCCAGGATCGTTACAGGTTACCTCCAACAACAGAACATCACCACATTACCTTGGCCAGCACTGAGTCCCGACCTCTCCCCCATCGAGCATGTCTGGGACATGCTTGGACAGAGGTTACGTCAACGTCAACAACGTCCTGCCAATGTCCAAGAACTTGCTGATGCGTTGCAACAGGAATGGAACAATCTGGACCAAAATGACCTTAGACGTCTCATTAGGAGTATGCCACGTCGGATCAATGCTTGTTTGGCAAACAGAGGAGGATTTACCCGTTACTGACTTGGTTGTGATGCTGTGGTAACTTTGCTGTTTGACCCCGGGTATCATTTTACCCTTATAATGGTCAGTCTGTGCCTTACTTAGTCTAACGATCATTTGGAATAAATCGATGAATGTGAATTTCATTTCATTTTGTCATTTGTTTCTTCGTCAGTTTCATTAGGTGACTTTAATAACACTTAAAAATCAAATATCCCCTACTTTTTTTGAATAGTATATATAAATATTGTGGCGTAATTGTCGAGATATTTGGAGATATTTATTTATGGTGGGTCACCCTAACTTATATTCTCTGTCACCACAGAGTTCTTGATGTGGAAATTTACACGGAAATATTTATTTATGGCTAGGGATATGATATCATATCTTTCTTATCTAAATTAGATCCTGCTTATATATATTATATATATATATATATATATAGAAAAATCACTGCGTATTAATATTATGCGCACTACTTTAATGGAGATAACCACAATGGAGACACTCAATTTTGATCTCGGTACATTAGATGAAATATTTGGAGATATGTCCGAAGATGAACTTGAAACGCCACCCCCTTGTCAGGTAACAGCTACAAACAACAAAATATTCAAAAATCTATTACAAAAACATAAATTTTGTTTCAAAAAGTACTTTTAAAAAATGAAGTGAGAATTTTAGGGGTTTTTTTTGTGTGTCTATACTCATACGGCTACTATAGCAACCAGACGATAAGCGAGCCAAATGTAACATGAGCAGCCAGTTACCCCGCTACGTCACGACGTTTTCATTAAGTCAAAATTGATTTCTTTGGTTTTTACGTCACTAAAACCGATTTGCTAACGCGTCTTGGGTCCTAATGATCTCAGGACATGTCTATTGGACAATCACACCCCTCTAAATGCGAAACAGGAGGTGTTTATCTCCTAAATGCAATTAACAATAGTCTATGACGTCACAATGTCATAGTTACATTAATATGTAACAGGCATTGCCTGAGTAGAGCGAAGCTGATTATTGTCAAATATAAAACCTTCATAATTAAGATTCTCAAGTGATACAAGTAATTTAAATAATCTCGTTTTTCCGAATTGAATTTAATTTAGATCTGAATTATATGATTAATTTTGTAAAAAAGAACAAAAAAGTGTGAGAATTATTTTCATTGACGTCAGAAATATGTGACGTCATTGATTAAACGCGTCATAAAAATATTTCTATGAATCGCGTAATCTCGATTGGGCGAGATTTGGTAAGTTGGCATGCACATTGCTATTTTTGCCCAGTGTATCTGGTTGCGGTCTGAATTTTTCTTTAATCAACAGTCTGTGGGGCAGATTTAGTTACGCTCCTGTGTTACCGGAAAAGAACTTTGTTCAAGCAATTTATTTTATTTAATTTAATTTAATTATTCTCTTATTTAGAATTAGAATTAAGTTTCGGGTGGTACTTCTCAATAAAATAGCTTTCTTTTGCCTCCAAGAGGTCGTTGTTTTTGCTATTAAGTCTATATAAAGGAAAAACACTAAATTAAATGAAATGAAATAAAATAAAGACCGTGGTGGGATTGAATATTTGTAGCCTGTAGGCTAAGAAATTACTACCCTTGCCTGTATAATAATGTAACTATGACATTGTGACGTCATAGACTATTGTTAATTGCATTATTGTTTAATAAATGCCTGAAGAGCCGCTATCGCGGTGAAAACGTTAGCATAAAAATGTAGTTTTATTTTGCCATCTTTAATTTCAATTATATATATATGTGTGTGTGTGTGTATATATATATATATATATATATATATATATATATATATATATATATATATATATATATATAACCAGGATGTAATTTAGATAAGATATGATATCATATCCCTAGCCATAAATAAATATTTCCGTGTAAATTTCCACATCAAGAACTCGTAGTATTATTCTTACAATTTCTCGTACAATAGGGGCCACAAGGCAAGAAGTTAGGCCCGATATACGCGAACATCAAACCGAGATCTTTGATACATAAACATATAATAAGTTTTTTTCAAAACCGGATACAAATCGTTAGAGGGACCACAGCCTTCGATCCGATTATCACAAAATTCAAACCCAGGGTGTAACGGTGTATATTTAAACGGTTTTTAAAATCAGGTATAAACTGTAATTTTTGTTACACCCAGGGTCCACAATCTAGGAGGTTACGGACCGATATGTGCGAATATGGAAAGAAACAAAAATCCGTGGAATATAGACATATATTTTAAGTTTGATCAAAATCGGATAAAAAAAATGTGACTTCTACAGTGTCAACAACCTTGGTATTATATACTTTTATACTATTTGCGAACGAGGAGCGGGCAGTTTCAATCCGATTTTCATGAAATTCGAACCCAACCATCATAAGGGTGGAATGGTGATATGTTAGAACAGCTTTTAATATTGGATAGAATGCCAATATCGAAAGGAACCGCATGTTCACAAATAAATTGTGGGCTGACAGGGGCGACTCGATACACGTCCACTTCAAAATATGGGCGTACAAAAATAGCTCAGCATGATAAAACTTGTGTTTTGGAAGACTAAACAACTGATATCAAAGACTTTATATGAAATGAGATTTTTATTTTAGAAATTAAAATGTTAAGTTATTTGATACTCCCACTGGCCGGTTAATAGTTGTCAACGCTTATGTAATTTATATTAGGGCAATGCTACTCAAGACGGACATGTTGTTTAGATCAGCATACCAAGCAATTAAAATCAGTGAACCGGACCAAACCCAAACATCCAAAATTTAGCACTTTTTCCTAGATAGTCCTAGCACTGAGTTATCACTGTTTGTAATTTTGACAAGTGGTGTGCATAGTGGTAACCAGGGCACAAGTATATTCAAGACTTGGCCTCCATTTTCCATTTTTAAATCAAATTTTTAAATGGCGAACCGTTCTAATCTAGTTAAAATCTCGAGTATCCGATGATTATGGTTTTCTTAAATCTCTAATTAATAGTTTATATAACATTTCAGGCCTAAAGAAAGACATGCAATAGGCAGATTTAGCTCTAGCATAATGTATGTTTAAGATGATTTTGATTTTTTGAAATAATCTCAAGAAACAGTATGACAACTCGATTGAAGGTAAGTTACGGTTAGAATAATTATGTCAAGATACATGGGACTCTGTGATCTTTATTGTCTGGATTAATATTAGCATACGCCCACATTTTGGAAATGAAATGGGGTTTAACTTCCTACTGTTCCGACTGGGCTGACTGGGCTAATGAAGACGGACATACGCCATACAGTGTGCTATAAGGGAAATTTTGCCCAGACAGCGGCCTACTCTTATATCGAATTCCAACTGCCAATCTTTTACGTTCACGCCAATGTGTACGCGGGACCTCGGTTTTTTGTTCTACCGAACTACTATAGACAGCTGTATTTGTCAAACCTCATTCCTGTACCACTGATAAGGGGAAACAACGCCGAAAAATCACGATGAACTTTCTTGGCCAACACCGGAGAGAACCCGCGACCTCCAGACTAGCGAGCCAGCGTCTAACTCGCTTAGCCACCGTGGCTCCCTAGGTGTGAAAGATTAGAACTGTGAGAGGATGTCGAATCTGCGAGGATGAGCTCTGTTGATTCTAAGACTTTCTGCTCCAGAGATATAATATGTGCCCTGCAACGCCTGTGTACTCAATCGAAAATGGATTTCTTGAAGACATCCAAGTTTTCCTTTCGGATAAGCTGCTGACTATGGCTACCGAGAGACAGCTGTTGTGTAGGCGTATATTTGTATATCCACGCTATGCATGGCTATCTTTATTATCGTTTAATATTATTATTTTTCAGAATAAGATTAAAATATGTGCTTTCTGCTTCTTTCTGTCAGTTGCTTGACATTTGGTGTTTTCAATAAGTTGCAGCTATCTCTATGGCAATCATTTTTTTTTTCGAGACAAAGCTGCCGTGTGGGCGTATTTATAACTGTGTTCTTTAGAATTTAAATTATTTAACCCCCCCCCCCCTCATCCAAAGTATGGGTCAAAGAAATTGCGCATCTTTGCTTGGCCGCATAGGACAATGTCCGTCATCGGCCTCAGTCAAGACATTCGCCAAATGAACATCTACTCAAAGTTTAAACATTCTAATGTCTTGACCAATCAAATTGTTCATCATCGAACATAGCCAAGATATTCGTCCAATGGACATCTACACAACGTTTGGATATTCTATCTCAGTTCGAAACAGCTTTACTGTGTTTCAATTTATCAATTTCGTCCATTTTATTTCAAATGGATTACGTTAAGGCAATTAATCTCAACTAGTGTTTTATTTCAAATGGATTACGTCAAGGCAATGATTCTCAACCAGTGTTTCTTGACACACCGTGTGCCGCGAGATCTTCCTAAGTGTGCCGCGAAATTTTGAACGGTACACTAATAAAATGCGAAAAACCAAATGATCCCAAATGAATATTCACTCGTGTCTACTGTTAAGTGCATAGCTGTGGTTTTTCTTTTAGTTTGAGTCATTCTGTGTCATGACTAGTCTCTGTCTATGGTTATATGCCGTCTGACTTACCATGTTTTTATTTTGCAAAATTCAAATAGTTTTCATATATACTTAGCTAGGTGTGCCACTATTTTTCTATGTGTCCCAAGGTGTGTAGTAGGCAAGAAAAGGTTGAGAACCACTGGGTTAATTCATACACGGGGATCACGTGGCTAAGTGGGTGTTCGATCCCTGCATTGGCCGAGAAAGTTCATCCAGATTTTCCGGCGTGGTTCTCCCTTGTCAGTGATGCCGGACGGAGGGGCTGACAAGGAAAGCTGTCTAGTCGTTCGGATGGGACGAAAAACCGAGGTCCCGTGTACACATTGGCGTGCACGTAAAAGATCCCTTGGCAGTTGGAATTCGATATAAGAGTAGGCCGTAATGCCGCTGTCCGGGCAAAATTTCACTCATAGCACACTGTATGGCGTATGCCCGTCTTCATTAGCCCAGGTTAGGAGCAGAACAGTAGGACGTTAAACTCCATTTCATTTCATTTCTAATTCATACACAGTATATACATGGTATACACCATTTGTAGGTCAATGCACATAATATATACATATACACCATGTGTTAGTCCATATTACACCCATGTATCCTTTTTTATTATTTTTCAGAAAAAGATTAAAACATATGCTGGATTGTTTTTGTCTGTCGGTTTCTTTGTTTTTGGTGTTTACCACTTGATACCGTGTGCGGCAGTCTCAAATAAAAGGACGTTTGTGTATACGTGCAAAAAGGGGGTGTTATGTGGAGGCTGGGCCGACCGACAAAAGGGTTTAATAGCTGTTTATCTATTGGCTAATGCTACCCAATCTGGATTTAAAATAGAGATTGACAAACCTTGTGACGTAACCTCATTTTTACAACCGAAATCACGAGATTGGAGACTGGAGAAAGATAAGACAAAGAATCTGTGTACAGAAGAAAGTGCTTATATAGACGGATACGGGAGAGAACTCCGTCAAAATCTAAAAACAAAAAACATTTCAGATTTCTTCAATAAGGATATTAATTATTTAACAATAAATAGTGAATTTAGTCATTATATTCGGCAAAACAAACTTTACAGCCACAGTTTAAATTGGTTAAAAAGACTTAGCATGGGGCAAATATTTGCTACAATTTGGCAGGAAAATATGGCACTTACCGCAGACTTGAAAAGAATTTATAAAAACTTTATAAAAAGAACTGACGGCAGGAAATTGGTTTGTGCTCAGGTCCGAATTGGACGCAACCCGTCCATACCCAGCGATACCGTTATACGTAATGATATTGATCACGTAATTAAAATTTTAGATTTTTTTCGAAAGTATGATGATCCTAAACTTTTTAGAATATTTGTAACAACTGATGCTGAACAAGTCAGAGTAAAAGTTAAGCAATCATTCCCAGACGTTGTCATAGATACAGAAGGTGTTATAGCACACGTGGACCGAGAACAGGACCAAAAGAAATCTTGTGAGGGATTTAGGAAAGTTATTTTAGATCAGCATATTTTAAGTACCTGTAATGTGCTGGTGATTAGTTATAGTGGTGTTGGACGTCATGCTGCCTGGATCCGAGGTACACCAACAGACTTGTTTTGCTTTATTGGCGGGAACGTTATTCCATGTAATTTCACTCATGATATGTTTCAGCCGTCCATCTGGTGAGGTCATACACCGTCTGGTGTGTTCATCTAGCCCACGGGGGGGGGGGGGCTGGGGTCACGGTGGCTAAGTAGGTAAGACGCTGGCTCGCTAGCCTGGAGGTCGGGTGTTCGATCCCTGCATTAGCCGAGAATGTCAGTCCAGATTTTCCGGCGTGGTGCCCCCTTGTCAGTGATGCAGGACGGAGGGACTGACAGGGACAGTCGTCTAGTTGGGACGAAAAACCGAGGTCCCGTGTACATAAAAGATCCCTTGACAATTGGAATTCGATATAAGAGTAGACTGTACTGCCGTTACCCAGGCAAAATTTCCCTCATAATACATTGTATGGCTTATGCCCGTCTTCATTAGCCCAGTTCGGAGCAGAACAGTAGGACGTTAAACCCCATTTCATTTCATTTACCTAGCCCGCGTGTTGAAAATCCGATTCCATAATTCCATCCCCGACATTTTGTCTTTAAGTTTGAATATCAGTTATCATTCCACCTAGATGCATTTAAGATTTGTATAAGCAATAACTTTGGCCTTGGCTCAGGTTCTAGATTTTCTTTATTTTATTCTGAGTATAACCAGACACTGGATGAATATACTAACACGCGAGTCTTACGGCTTTACCACAGGCTATGAATAGTGATAATATCAGTGATATTCTGGGTACTATAGATTGAAAATGAATATGAAATGAATGGGGTTTAACGTCCTATATTTCTGCTCCGACTGGTCTATTTTAGAGGTACATATGCCCAATCTGATTAAAATACAGATCTATATTTCGTTTCGTTTTTTTATACTTTCGATGGCCTACACTACATGAAGGTCTGACAAGTTATAGCGATAGGTCACGTCAGGGGTCAAAAGACCGACTTATGACCTATGACGTCGGACATTTGATTAACCAATCAGCATTGATGTTAATAGTGGATTACCCACAGTTCCGTGCAAAACACGCCCAAGCTCGCCGTAACAGACCGTTTCATTGGCTTATCCCTGACATCATTCAGAACACGAGTTAAATAACAACTCTTCCAGATCCAAGTGTAGTCAGGCCCGTAGCCAGCTTGCTAGCTTCGGAGGGGCAGTGGAGTTTTTAGGGGGGGGGGGGGCACACCCACCTGGCACAGTCTACAGTAGGTATTTTAGAGCTATGGTCGGCAATTTTTTTTTCGGGGGGGCATTGCCCACCCTTGCCCCCTCTGGCTACGGGCCTGAGTGTAGTAAAGACAAGTAAAACGAAATTTTGAACGTTAAAAGCGAAACGAAATATAGGATCTGTGTTTTAACCAGATTGTACATATTATGCCATACAGTGTGCTACTGCCTATACTCTTATTTCGGCAAGCCAATGTGTATACGGGACCTATACGTTGTTCCTTGCCCGTCCCAAACCACTGACATGGTGGAACAAGGCAGGAAAAGAAAAATCCCGAGGAACTTTCTCGGTCAACACTGGGATCGAAAACATGACCCCAGGGTTAGCAAGGCAACATCCTACTCACTGAGGCACGTACGACTGCACCCACTATAAATTGATTATTAGTCTTGAAGATTCTTTCCTGCGTATGACCGCGGCTGTTTAAAACGTTTTAAATGGAATATATATAATTTGTGTGACGACTTGTCTGGATTTATGTGACCGCTTTTCTAGAACGTGGGGGGGGGGGGGGGGTGAATGCGCGCTGTTTATAAAGTCCGTCAATGAGTCAACTGGCGTGGTTTCGATTTCCCGGTTGTACGTGACAAGGAGTAGGGTCGCCTATCAAACATCATGGGGTTTTCCCCGGTTCCTCAGGTTTCCTCCCACTGCTAAAGACCCCTACACGCATGCGAATTCTTGAAATAAAATTGAACCATATGTTAGTCCCGAAATCACACACACTCTATCTCTCTCTCTCTTTCGCTCTTTCGCGCGCGCCCGCGCTCTCGCTTTTCTAGAATTTATGTGACCACCTTACCGCAATTTGTGCGACTGCCTTGCTAGAATTAATGTGACCGCCTTGACAGAATTTATGTGACCGCTTTGCCGGAATTTATGTGACAGCCTTGTCGGAATTTATGTGACCGCCTTCCTGGAATTTATGTGACCGCCTTGCTAGAATATATGTGACGGCCTTGCCGGAATTTATGTGATGACCACTTTTTTAGAATTTAAGTGACCACCTTGCAGGAATTTATACGACCACCTTACAAGAATTTATATGACTACCCTGACAGAAGTTTTGAGAATAGAAAACTCACGTAGTTCAAGTAAAGAAACGTGTTCTTGTCAGAGATTGCAGTCAGATTTATTTTTAAATACCACAGAACAAGCCCGATTTGTACAAACACTAATTCCCTACCCATTGGGGTGTTTCCTACATCACGTGGCGTTAGCGTACGACGATTTAAGAAACTAAATTCAAGAAATCTGCTTTTTATTGGCTATAAATAGAATATATATATATTTAAAAATGAACTCCTGCAAACGTTTTACATCGGCGAATGATCTCGGCACGACTTCTTTGGAAGTGCCTCCTAATCTGCCATTGCGAATATGCCTCAAGATTTAGTACTGAAAATTGATAACAAACACAATAGGGGATTAACATTTGGTATGCTTTTGTGAATTGAAACCACAGATAAACATAAAAACCGTGTTCCACGTATGTTTGCTCTTCTAATTCTGATTTAAATATTGAAAAGCATCTTGACTATGACCATGGTAGCGGATCGATGGGAAAGTCAAGATGGCCCACGGGTGTCTTATTCCATAATCTGTGTTTCGTACTATGTCTGGGAACCCTCCATTTCCGGTCCATGCGCCACACCTTTGGACATGTTTGGGTAAAATATCTCCTAAAGACTTCCAGCCCGCCAGATCTTTCAGAGCCATGGTGATTATGCCCACAACGTTTGTGCACAATTATCAAGACTGTGGGTGTTATTTATTCGACTGTGTTAAAGCATTAAATTAGTTGTCAAATATTTATTGTACCATAAATAAATTTGTTATTGATTATTGATTTGTGCGAAACAAATGGCAAATAAGCCCTCTTTTTATATTGTCGCCGCCCCCGTCCGTCCGTCGGTCCGTTGTCCACAATTGCTTGTGGACGCTCTAGAGGCTAAAGTTAATATCCGATTGACTTTAGATTTATACACAGTGTTTAAGGTCATGAGACAAAGAATCCTATTGATTTGCAGCGATTTCCGATTTATTAATGCCAGAGTTATGGCCCTTGATCACTTTTAAAAAACTTGTGGACGCTCTATAGGCCAAAGTTAATATTCGATTGATTTTAAATTCATACACAGTGTTTAAGGTCATGAGACGAAGAAGTCTTTTCATTTTTAGCGATTTTCGATAATTACTGCCAGAGTTATGGTCCTTGGTCACTTCAAAAAATCTTGTGAACGCTCTAGAGACCAAAGTTAATATTCGATTGACTTTAAATTTATACACAGTTTTTCAGGTCATGAGCCGAAGAAGCCTATTGATTTTCAGCGATTTCCAATAATTACTGCCAGAGTTATGGCCCTTGATGACTTTGAAAAAACTTGTGGACGCTCTAGAGGCTAAAGTTAATATCCCCTATTGACTTTTAAATTTATACACAGTGTTTAAGGTCATGAGACGAAGAAGTCTTTTCATTTTCAGCGATTTTCGATAATTACTGCCAGAGATATGGTCCTTGGTCACTTCAAAATATCTTGTAAATGCTCTAGAGGCTACAGTTAATATCCGATTGACTTTAAATTTATAGTGTTTGAGGTCATGAGCCAAAGAATCATATTGATTTTCAACGATTTCCGATAATTACTGCCAAAGTTATTGCCCTTGATCATTTTTTATTAAAAGTAACCTTTTTCTTATTAAAAAGGGGCTAATTATATTTAATTGACTTTGGTGGAAACACTGGGTCAATATAAAGGACTTTGAAATGGTTGAATCAAAAAATGATGTATCACTACGCCGTAATGTAATCAGGTTCAGTAAAAGTGAAATCTATAGCAAAGAATTATATTGAAAAGTTAAAATACGGGTTATCGTGTAATGCATGAGCGGAAAGTATTTATTTATTTATCCTTCTTTTAATATATTACTTATTCCCTGGTACATTCATGATTACAGGGTTTAGAAGAGATTTATTTCTTTTCTCAAACGAAAGAGTGTTTGAGAAAAGAAATAATTATGTCGCTTTCAGACAAAACCTAAATTCTGAAAATAAATTACTTTCCATTTATTTTCTTTCTCGAAGGTCCGGCCCTGGTTTCACTCCCCAGAGTCGTGGTCATCGAACGATTTTTCTTATTGTATATAATATGCTTGCTCGATTCTCCTTTATTGTATGGTGCCTTATTGTATGCCAGGCTGAATTCCGCTCAAGTCGTCATAATATTACGGCTCGATGGATTTCGAGAAATGTTTTTAAAGAAATGTTATTGAAGAAATGTTTTTTGAAGAAATGTTTTGTAAGATTTGTATTTGGAGATTTGTTGGAAATTTGTTCCAGATTTGTTTTTCGTTCTATGTCTCTGATGAAATGTAAATGTAGGGTAATTAATTTTGATTTCTAAAATAAATTTTATGTTTATATTAAAATGCAATTACAATACATTTTACAAATCTGATATGACAAATGTCTGACATGTAAAACAAATATTGATTTTAAGATACAAATGTTAATTTTAGTGTACAAATGTCGAAATACGACAACAAATGAAGAAATAAGAATTAAGGACTATGAATTAAGAAATATAAGGACTAAGAACACTGAATAAAGAGCTGTTTGGTCTTCCATGGATTAAACGTTCCGGAATTGAATTCACTCAATCTCAAAAATAGGGACAATCGAATGCAAATGGGGATTTCGAACAACAACGCATGCGCCGATAGCATAAACATATATCTCAACCAACCATGAAAGCTGACATGGATTCGCAGTGCTGAATTACGTCACGATTCTACATGCACCACCTCCGTCGTCGGGACTATCAGAACTGTCACAGTACTGAATCCCGCGCAACTCAACTGCAATTCTTTCAATTCGGAACATTATGGACTGACAATTGAGCGTCCCAATCTTTTCTCCAATGGTCCTTTTCAAAAGATAACATTAACATTAACATTAATGTCCTATCCATTTTACAAGGTAGACGAGTAACTGACCTAGCCGTGGTCAGGACCATAGCTGGGGCAGTATGGGGTACTAGTAGTATTACATGTAGGCTTTATTCCAGTTGCCATAGGGATAGTCTCATGACCTATGTAAATATCAAACACCCATGTAATAAGTCAATGATAATTTTCCATTTTCTTTAGAAATTTGTATCTGTTATGGGAGCTACATACACTTTATCCGTGAATGTAAAAGACCATATTCGGAGAGTAACGGGGGCGATTAGAATACCAAAAATATATTTTCGGCTGGAGCATGTATTGTATTATCCTAATTTTTCGTGGCGTACTGTATTATAAACCAGTGTCAATTAAAGACCCCGTAGTTATATTCTCTCACGCTAAAGCGACTCCATATGCAATAACATAGGGTATCGTAGCAACAACAATAATTTCATTCTCAGACTTAAAACATTGGTAACACTCCTCCCCTTTTAACATAGGTGAAATTTTAACCTGACTTTTTTTTACAGGTTCAAGTAAGCGTATTTATCTCAAGAGGCATCATGGGAAAGCCTACTGCCACGCCCCTGTTGATTTTTTATGCGTGCTGTTGGCCAATAGCTACTGTAAACTTCCCCGCCGCGTTTAGACGGCTCTAACCAATGGTAACATTTATAAATTTATAAATACATAAAATTTATAAAAATTTTATAAAATTTATAAAATTTTTAAAGTTTCCATTTGATGGAATATGAATAACAGAAAGAATAAAACGATGATCAAGTTGAATCTGTGAATATTTCTAAAACCCTTTTCCTTATGTAACCACATAAATCGTCTTGGCCCAGCTTTTGACAGTCAGTTTATCTCTACTGTCGCAACTTTTTTTTATCAATTTCTAATTCAGTATTTGGTCCAGAGAGCAACTGTTGAATGCAAATATATAACTAGACACGGTGCATTCAATACAGAATTATTTTTTACAGCGTGATTACTATTTGTTCTTTTTTTTTTAGATGTGCTACGGTCGTGCTTTAATTTTAATATCGTCTTGAATAATTCTTTCGTAGAACCACAGGTCACCACTCTAACCTATTGTATTATTTACTCTTGTGCTCTATTTCGTGGCAGTTTACAACCAAACAGATGTTATCTATTAATTGTTTGCAGTAAAATTAACACAAAACATATAAATCGGCTTCATGCAGCAATGCATCTTTGTTTATGCTTTTGCCTACAGCGGTCAACTGGATCGTGTGCGAGCTTGGAATATATCGTCTGCTACAACTCAGTATATCGTCAATAAAACGAAAAAAAATAATTTAGACATGATTTAAAATCGGTAATTTATTACGAATGCTACACGCGTCTTACAACAAGAGTGGCATTCAAGAATGCGTTTTCTATTAAAAGAAAAAGACTAAAAACCCAGTTTTCCTTAGAATTTACCATGTTAACATACGTGACGAAAAAGGCCAGGCTGAAAATATACACCGGAAGTACGTCACGCGGAAAAGCTCCTATATTACAACCATTTTGCCCCTTACAACACAAAGTCGTTATCATATTTGGAGTTGTTTAGATTAGCTGGCCACCAGGTTGTACATAGATCATTATGGGGTATCAAAACCAGCTGGGGGTCAGTAAATTCAGATACTTTGTCACAGACCTTTCTCCTGGTCATCATTTCTTTGACTCATCTATTTTCAATTGATCTTGGTGTGACTCATCTTAGGATTTTTCGGTGTTGCCCCAAGACTTTAAGCTAAAAAAAAACTGGGCATAGCTCTGCCGTTGATAAATTGGTATAATCCTGTTGTTGAAATGATTCGAACAAAATCTGTTAATACTTGCGACCTGTAGAGAATTTACAGACAAAAAACGGGGCGTGGCACCGCCCCCTTGTATGACCAATCATGGTAGTAGTGTTACGGTTAATCCGAAGTATAATTTCGACAGAGTAGGGTCGCCTGTCCAACCTCGTGGGTTTTCTCTGGGTCCTCCGGTTTCCTCCCACTGCTAAAGACCCCTACGCGCAAGCGAATTATTGAAATAAAATTAAATGATATGTTAGTCCCGAAATGACCTATTTTGTGTCGAGTGGACGTTAAACTCTCTCTCTCTCTCTCTCTCTCTCCCTCTCTCTCTCTCTCTCTCTAAATTTCGACAGGGGCTTTAAAAGGAAACACGTACTTTCTACAAATCGGGAGCCACAATAGCTCGGTGAGTAAGAGATGATGGCTCGCTAACCTGTAGGTCCTTTGTTCGATCCCGGTGTTGGCAGCAAAGTTCATCTGGATTCTCCGGCGTGGTTCCAGGGACAACATATGGTCGTTCGGATGGGACAGAAAACCTAGGTCCCGTGTACACATTAGTGTGCACGTAAAAGAATCCTTAACAACTCGAATTTGATACAAGGGTTAGAGGTAGCGCAGGAACATGAAGTTTAAATTGTGGGCATTTTTTCCAACTTTCGAGGTTTCCCGAAAGTGTGCACCTGAAATTCATAAACATTAGGATGAAGAAAGTAATTGTTATCTATATATATTTCGATAATAACTAACAAATGAAATAAAACTACCTCCCAGCGATGACATTATAACCAATGACCATGACCTCGAATATATATATACATAGCCTACACTGTTTTGGTAGTCATCTCAACACAATAGCGCGCGTTTTTGTCAATCGTGGCCACCCTCACCTTACACGACGAAGGTAAGTAAATTCTGATTGTTTGGATTTTTTGTTTTGTTTTTTTTTTTGGGGGGGGGAGGATTTGTTTGTTTTTGTATGTGATGGGAGGGGAGGGGTGCTTTATTACAATATTTCACTAAAATACCCGGATCCGAAGAATAATGTCCCATTGTTTAACTGCAGCAGTCCTTTTTTTTTGGGGGGGGGGGGTCACGGGGAAATGCACAAGGTTAGCAGTCAAAGACGAAATCCTAGTTTAATAACTGACGACCCAGTAATACTACAGTAAAGATCAGTTGGATTTCACATTTGATCCTTATTGTATCAGTATCCACGTTCTTCAAAAAAAAAAAATGCTCTGAATGTTTAATTTATATTGCCAAACAAAAATAACAGCGGAGGTTGATCATGTTACCGAATTAGCCTTGCACTTGGAGACTTTGGAAGGTACAGTCGACAGCGTTCCTAAGAAACGAATTTTTGCCAACGATTTATGTTCCATGGGGGAAATAACAGTATAGCAATGATTTTAGAATATTTAGGCTTCGGGGAAAAGGGTCAATTGTTATGTGAATAATTGATCCCCCCAAATAAATAGAAAAAAACCCTTTGGAGCATTGGTGGAAGTGTACCCAGGTAAAACATCTAACACTACTTTTACGAGCACCTCTGTTCATTGACCTGTTTTATTATTGTACTTTTACGAACGCATCTGTCCATTGACCTGGGTTTTTTTTTTAAAAAGAACTATTCAACCTCGCAAGGCGTAAGTATTGTGGTATATATTATGACGTCAAGGACTCGTTTTACAAATATGCGGTTTATCTCCAGAAGGATTTCAGACAACGAAGCTTACGCCCATAATTCTTTAATCGACAATGGGAACATTTGCAAGGCACGAATAACTTATGGATGATATATTTTTTTTTAAATTGTCTGTAAACTTTTCTTTGAAGATGCATTATGTAAAAGCTAAACTGCCTATCGCATGTCTTTCTTCTGGCGTGTTATATAAATTATTATTTAAACGAAACGAAATGAAATGAAATGGAATGGGGTTACACGTCCTACTGTTCTGCTCCTAAACTGGGCTAATGAAGACGGATTATTTAAACACTCGTTAAATAGCAAGCCCATAATCAACTCCCTGGGCCATTGTATTGCTCCGATTTTAAGTAGATTTGAACACTGCGGTCATGCTACTTTTTGTCAAAACGTCAAACGCCTATAACTTGGCATAGAATAAACTAATTTGAAATTTTTAATATATTCCTTTTTCATTATCTATTTTCAAATTATTATAGCAAGAACGGTCAGCTCTTTATCTAAATCTTACATAATGTATATTTTAAATGAATAACATGCATAGTTTAGGCAATTTTATTTCAGAATTTAATTTTCTAGGGTCGTTAAGGGGGTATATTACTATGTGTCATTACCAGCTTTTATGTTATAAGAATCATAACTAAGGGGTTTTGTTTTGCCCAGGTTTTGGATGACGGGAATTGTTTCTGACTTTAGTTTAATAGGGAAAAATAACTTATTTAGCTATCTTTATTAGACAGTATAGGATGTTAATGTTATATATTAATACTTAAAACATTGAAGTTTGGCGATTTTATTTACAAGCCTTTTTTATTGTCGGATGACGTCGTGATTGATTCGCGAAATGTAATTGGCGGGTCTGTTTTTAATCCTATGGAATCGAAACCGGGAGATAATGCACATACTACTAGAGTTTGAACATTTGATTGTGTTCTCTCAAATGTTAAATGATAAATCTGGGTATATATTTAATGCAGTGGATTAAGCCGTGGGAAATGTAATATTTTGCGATAAATCCTCTATTAGATAAATAAATGTTTTCTAATGGAAAGCTATATTGCGTTGCTAAAGTTACAATTTCATATTTTCTAAGAAAGTCAAAACATAATTATTTCTATGTCTTTTGCTCAATAGGTTGTCAACTCACTATTATATGATCATAGGTTATCTTTCTCACACTTAAAAATCTTCACACCGGAAATAATAAAATTACTTCCCAATTACCTCCCTTGTTTTCCTATTCCCCACCGTGGAATAGCTATCTTCAAACGTTTGTATTTGAAGTTGAAAATGATATTTTTGCCAATTTCTCAACTGGCAATAGTGAATTATAGGATTAATAGTATTATTCTTTAACAAGGTAGGACTGTTTATAGATACCATCTATTTTAGGGCTTTATTTTAATACATTTTAAAAATATAACTTAAAAATATGAAATTGTCACTTTAAAAGTAAGACGCTCAAATAGTGTACTTGGGGCTGTCGAGGTGTGCAGAATGGAGAAAAATGTGTGACAACAAGCATACCCGGACATATACTCCTATAAGACAAGTTTTGACAACTATTAACAGATTGTGACGAAGGAAGAAGATGGCCAACCCTCTCTTCGCACGACAACGAAGTTAGCTTTAAACAATATTTTATTTCCAGTACGACAGATTTGAAAACAAGCAGAAGCTTATATAAATTATACATAAATTATACATACAATTACTAAAACGTATAAATTTCAAAAGTATATCTTATACATATCTACATTTTGATCCTCATCGGTGAATTTTAACACCGTGATTTCCGCTGTGACTTTTTTTTATATACAAGAACTTTTTTTTATGTTTTTACTCCTTTACCCTTTTTTTTTATTACTCCTTCATATGTAAATAATCTTAATTGAATCAACATGTCCATAATATTATGTATTGGACGTTAAATTTGCAATAAACAACAACAACATTGAGAGTACCAAATGGACCTGAAATCAACAGGCGTCTTTGTATGTTAATATAATAGGGACTTAAAAATAATTCGGGATCTACTATCTTTTATATTTCAGAAGAATAGATTTCTGGTGTTCAGTTAAGAAATGATGATGATGTCGGTATGTAGATGTGTCGGTTTGTTCAGGTAAATAATTATGAATAGAATGTAGCACTATGAAATTTATGATTTTAATGTCCGGGTATGCTTATCTCTCATTCCACTTATGTATCGGAGAGGGTTCAAGGTTAAGCAATGTTACAAAGATAAACTAAAGGAAACCAGATGCAGAACCGAAATTTTCTCCGGGTCCTTCATCCCTTCCAGTATACGAGAATTGAACAAACTTAACGTTGAAATTAGAAACCCCCGATCCCCTGCTATCTTTGGAAATTCACTAAATAAATTAGATACCACCGTGCCATCATATTACTATACAGGGATAAGAAAATTACAAATAATCCACTGTAAACTAAGATTATGCTGCTCGAACCTACAAGGCCATAAATTCCTCAGACATGTCGGTGATAACCCTGCTTGCCTCTGTGGTCACAAATTCGAAGATACCGAACACTATTTACTCGTATGCCACTTATATTCAGATGCAAGAAAACGGACAATCCATAACCTTCAACATAAACATAAAACAGTCAGTTATCTGTTGTATGGGTCAACAAAACTTAGTCCAGAGATAAACACACTTATTTTCCAAAAAGTCCAACAATTAATTTTCTTATCAAAAAGATTTAAATCTCCATAAACAACTCTTAAGTCATTCCAAGCTCTGCACTCTGTATAATCATCTAAGTCACTATATTATCCATGATGTATCATATATGCTCTATATTTATGTACGTGTGTATGTAAATATTTATAATGTGTACATGTATCTAACTCAGAGAGAGGGGTTACACATAGGCATAGCCTGTTCCCCAATCCAAATTCAGATTTAATGAATAAAAATATTGTTTAAATAAAAAAGCAATGTTACATGACCGTATTGAAAACTGTCAAAATGAAGTATGGTACACACAGGGCATTTTTAACCTAGTAACCTAAGACTAATTTTTGTGAATGATCTCTTAAATGCACGGGACCTCGGTTTTTAGTCCAATTCGAATGACTATAGGTTGTCCCTTGCCAGACCCTCTTTGCTGCACCACTGACAAGGCGGTGGGGGGGGGGGCACTCCGGAAAATCCCGATGAACGCAGGGATCGATCACGGGACCTTCAGGTTAGCGAGTCAACGTCTTACTCAGTTTTAATTAGTTTTTAATCATAATCTTAATATATTAAATGGTTTACCTATTGAATATGATTAATTAGTTGTTACTTGTTTTTGTATATAAACCTTCTGTACATTATTTTCATCATCATTTGCTTGAAAACGTTGAGAGAAACCTCAATGAAACGTCGCTTTAATTAAAATAGTAATTGTGTTCCATATTATGTTTTTGTATTACGACACCTACAGTTGATTTGGACTGGGTACGGCATCTATATTTGAACCGATCCTCGCACTTAGTCCAAGAATGCATGTACACGTAGAAGATTTAATTGGATTAACTTTTTTACGTAGATTGGGGACTCCCTTGAAATTGATGTCCAGATGGTCGTCCTACAATGTGATGAATCCAGGTGGACAGGGAACATCATACGGCGACGTTCAGAGAAGAAACAAAGCGTTTTGTGATAACTCTAAAGACAAGATACTCAAAATAGTTGGTTAGTTAGCGATTGTTTTTAAAATCAAAGTGGGCTAATAATTCTCAGAGAGCACAATATCATGAATATCAAATGTTTATTTGAAGGCGATAATATTGAAAAACCCATACCCCGGGAAAAAAAAGCTAGCATTTATAATAGTTCAAAAATAGATCATGAAAATTGAATATACAGAAAATTCCATTCAAATTAATTTATTTGCGTTATAAGGTTTAACAAGATCTAGTGTAGACCGTTTATTATCGTAGCAATGGTACTTGGTTTTGAGACTAAGTCGCAATTGCTCATTTTATCGTTAAACGTTTAATTTTCGCGGCTCGGTCACCCGTTTATGTCAATTGTCATGTAAATAAATCACTGCATAATAGTCGATATAACATTTAAAGCCAAAATAAAGACCTGAAATATGTAGATTTCGCTTTCACATATTGCATCCTTAACAACTAGTGCGATGATTTGTATATAAGCTATCTTAACAGACAAATGGCGACAACTACTGAAATCTACGTCATGTACGTGGCAGATTACGCGTTCAATCGTTCACGTAGCTATCAATATTTGTTTTACTTTTATTATTAATCTATAAAGTTTTGCTAATACTTCCATTCTACAAAATATTTCAGAAAATCTGGTTACCAAAACTCATCCAGAAAATGAACCATTTACTGTAGCCGAATATGGTGCCGCGGATGGCTCGATTTCAATGGAACTAATGACTGACATAATTAGTAAGTATATTGTTGTAAAATGAAATGGGTTTTTCATCCCATCCTAACGACTAGACGCTTTTCCATGACAGACCTTTCATCATGCATCAATGACAAGGGGAAGACATGTTGAAAACATCTGGATCGAAGCTAGTTACTGAGACATCTGGTAACCGAGTAATCGTTCCTCTCTATGGCAGCAAAATAAACTACTTTTGATTCTAAATCGCAATTAAATACAAATACCATAAATACACGTTGGCTTTACAAATGTAACTTATCAATGTGACGAACGCTAAACACAATCTGAATCGTTAAGATCAAGCCGTCTCTACTGAAGTGAAATGAAATGAAATGGGGTTTAACGTCCTACTGTTCTGCTCCTATGCTGGGCTAATGAAGACGGGCATACGCCATACAGTGTGCTATGAGGGAAATTTTGCCCGGGCAACTGCACTATCGCCTACTCTTATATCGAATTCCAACTGCCAAGGGATCTTTTACGTGCGTTCTAATGTATACACGAGACCTCGGTTTTTCGTATCATCTGAATGACTAGACGGCTGTCCCTGTCCGAGAAAATCATGATGAACTTTCTCGGCCAATGCAGGGATCGAACACCGGACCTCCAGGCTAGCAAGCCAGCGTCTTACCCACTTAGCCACGTGATCCCCCTCTACTGAAGGTTAGATCTAAATATTAAGGCAACCTCTACTGAATGTGTTAATGAAGTAATACCGATATCTTTGTCTTCACACTGTGTATTATAATACATCTATGTACATGTCAATTTCAGGTGTTATTCGATCAAAGTGTGGAAAAAACAAAGAGATTCATGTAATGTATGAAGATTTGCCAGAGAGTGATTTCAATTCATTATTTAAAAGAATCCAGGGTTTGTAAAATCTATATATATTCAGATTTCAGGTTCTTTAGGAAACAAACCGATTGGATTCTAAATCTGAAAACCGCTAAGGACATATGGTTTGAGTTTTGTATTTTATGCGCTTACATATTTTTTAATGCCTATAGTCTCCCGCAATTCGAAGATAGCAAGGGACTATGGGTCTGTCTGTCTGTCTGTCTGTCCATCTGTCGGTCTGTCCTTCTCTCCTTCAAATATTTAGAATGCACAAACTTGGTGTAAGTGTTTATTAGGCAAATGCCTTGATGAAGTTCGAAGATGAACATTTTCTACAGAGGTAAGCATTTGATAGGTTGATCCTTTAGGTCACGATAACTTTTTGGTTCTTTTTAAGTGATTGTGATGAAACTAATGCGCATTTTCTGCTCAGAGTAAGCAGAGCGATAAGGAATTTGATTGATCAAACCTTTGGAACACAATAACCCTCCTTCAAACTGAGGTAGAATGTTCAAACTTGGTGTAGGCGTTCATTAGGTGAATGCCTTGATGAAGTATGAAGATGAGCATTTTCTGCATACGGTAAGCAGAGATAAGCAATTTGATTGGTTGGTGGTTCGGGACACGATAACTTTGTTTATAGTTAAGTGAGAGTGATGTAATTTGGTGTATAGTTTCATCACATGAATAAGTTCGATAATGAGCATTTTGAGCTCTGGGTAAGCAGAGCGATAACCAATTAACTGGTTGAGACTTTGGAGCTCGACAACTTTGATTCTAATTAAGTAATATTGGTGAAAATTCGTGTATAGTTTCATTACATCAATACCTTTACAAAGTTCGATGATGAGCATTTTCTGCTTCGGCAAAGTAGAGACTTCAATCTGATTGGTCGAGACTTTGGAACACAATAACACTCCTTCTAATTTAGGGTTTAAACTTGGTGTAGTTGTCTATTAGGTGAATGCCTTGACAGAGTTCGGTCATGCGCATTTTCCATAAAGGCTAAGCAGAGATAAGCAATTTGATTGACTGAGGCTTTGGAACACGATAACTTTGGTTCCAATTGGGTGAGAATGCCGAAACTGCGAGTATAGATTCATTATATAATTTCATTGACTAAGTTCGATAAAGAGAATTTTCTACTTAGACTAAGTAGCGATAAGCAATTTGATTGGTCAAGACTTTGGGACATAACAACGCTACTTTTAATTGAGCTACGAGTGTTCATTAGGTGAATGTCTTGACTGAGTTCAATGATTAACATTTCCCGCTAAATCTAAGCAGAGCTAAGCAATTTCATTGGTCAAAACTTTGGGACAAGGTAACTTTGATTCTAACTGATGGAGAGTGATGAAACTTAGTGTATAGTTGATAATCAGTTTGATTGCTCGATACTTTTCAAAACGATAACTGTGCAATTAATTGTGTCATAACTGTGTCATCTATCTGTTTTGGGATTTCGGCCGGGGGACATCAGCCTCACTGTTGGCTTGTTATGACTTGAACCCTATCGATTACTGTCTGGCGTCCTTTATTTCTTTTGACTTGAATCATTTCTCTAAGTTGGGTAGTTATTAACCGTTTACTTCTATGGGCTATTTCGTGCTAGAATAATACAACGTTTGGGTAATATTGTTGATTGCCTTCCCCTTCTGATTCGGTTTTCGTTTTGATTGAAACCTGCATTACTGTACAGCGCCATCGATTCTTAAGGTTGGCCCTGGACCCATTCATTTGATTTTATATATACCTTTCTTATTTATAACTTACTGTATTTGTAATGTATATGTCTTGGCCTTAAGTGTGTTTGTTTATGTGTGTAACAGCCCTCCTGCACTTACTATGACATTTTAAAGGTACATTATGTAAAATTTAGATAAAGAGCTGGAAGTTCTTGCTATAATAGTTCAAAAATGGATAATGAAAAAGGAATATATTAAAAATGTCATTTAAATTACTTTCTTCTGAGCGAAGTTATGACTGTTTGAAGATATATCGGTGGTGATCGTTCGTTATCGTAGCAACCATACTTGAAAACCGAAACTTACCCTCGATTGTCCGTTTTACCGTTGAAAGTTTAAATCTCGCGGATGTTTAAATCCATTTAAACCTCGGCCATCCGATGCCCTAGAAAGTTGATAGGCTTGTCATGTTAATAAATGTCTAAGAAAGACCTTCAATAGACAGTGTTAGCTTTTACATAATACATCTTTACATTTGTATAAAATAAGATTTAATTTGTATACAATTAGATTTGATTTGTATAAGATTTAATTTGTATACAATTAGATTTGATTTGTATAAATTAAGATTTGATCTGTATACAATTAGATTTGATTTGTATAAAATTAGATTAAATTATAATAAGATTACATATCTGTATAAAATTAAATTTATATAGAATTAAATTTCTACTTTGTTTTCTAGGTATTATACCCATTCCCAGATCATATCTTCTGGATCATGAAAATGTTTATGTGACATCTACAGGAACCAATTTTTTCAAGCAGTGTTTTCCTTCCAATTCTGTAGATCTAGCCTTGTCTTTTACAGCATCACATTGGTTATCGAAGTAAGTCAGCTGCCATACAATTAAATAACATTAAGTGTCGGTGCAGAAAAGTAGGAATTAAACCCCATTTTCATTCACAACATTCGGTGTTATGTTGTCATTATACCTGTATATATGATTGGTAACATGTGGGGGGGGGGGTAACACGTGCGCTTTAGATCGTAAGGCCTGGCGCTGAGTCAGTCACTTGGTGTGATCTCTATTCACGGCTCATTCATCATAAGGAGTAGAGTCGCCTGTCCAACCTCGGGTGGGTTGTCTCCCGGTCATACTACTGCCAAAGATACCTATGCGTAAACCAATCATTGAAATTAATATGAACCATAATATTATGCTCTCTCTCTCTCTCTCTCTTTCTCTCTCTCTCTCTCTCTCTCTCTCTCTCTGATTGTTCTGTTTTGTATATTTTAGAAACTTTTGTAAATATTTGTTGGCATCAATATTCTAATCCTAAATGGCTTTAAACTCTGTATATTAAATCTAGGTTGTAACAAGTACCGTATCTGGAATGATTCCACTACAATCTAGGTTGTAACAGGTACCGTATCTGGAATGATTCCACAACATTCTAGATTGTAACAAGTATCGTATCTGGAATGATTCCACAACAATCTAGGTTGTAACAGGTACCGTATCTAGAATGATTCCACAACATTCTAGGCTGTAACATGTACCGCATCTGGAATGGTTCCACAACAATCTAGGTTGTAACAGGTACCGTATCTAGAATGATTCCACAACATTCTAGGCTGTAACATGTACCGCATCTGGAATGGTTCCACAACAATCTAGGTTGTAACAGGTACCGTATCTAGAATGATTCCACAACATTCTAGGCTGTAACATGTACCGCATCTGGAATCGTTCCACAACAATCTAGGTTGTAACAGGTACCGTATCTAGAATAGTCCCACCCCAATCTAACCTGTGACAGGTACCGTATGTGGAATGGTTCTACAAACACCTAGGTTGTAACTGCATGGTTACAATCTAGGTTGTACCTACCGTATCTGTTTTGGTCGGAGCTATGGCCGCTATCCTACATAATCTCATCTTTTATTTTTAGACCGGTGTATGTACATGACCACGTGTATGCTTATTTCACCCAAAATAAAGACGAAAATGACGCCTTAACGAAACAAGCAGCCGAAGATTGGGTACTCTTCCTGAAAAACAGAACCAAAGAATTGAAACCAGGTCAGTATTTTTCTTTTGTCAAGTTTTACCGCGCTTCTTGGTGTTAGAACACCCAGTGCTGTAACCTTTCACCTAACTGAACTTTAACCATTAGCATTTACATTGGATGACTCTACATTCATTAGAAGACACATCTCTTCCTTTCTAACTTCAGTAGATTCTACCATTTTCTTCACCAATCTGTTGAAACGATATCTGTATGTTATAAGAAGGATCGCGTAGTGTCTTCGGCTTTCTCTGTTTACTCGCGCTACTTTGGGTACATGAAAATTAATGAAATAAACTATATCAAAACTATACTTTATGCTGTTCCATAAGAGACCTTGGCGTGGTGATTAAAAGTTCAATACTATTTTACTTTTGCCCAGATTGTGCATGTTTTTATACCAGTTAATGCAAAAAGGGCTCAGAAGTCGTCTGCTTTTCTATCATCTGCGTCATTAAATCCCACTTCATGTGTGCTCGTCATCTCCTACATTTATAATATACCTAAATTGCTATCAAAGGATTATTGGACGGTAAATATCGGTCCAAAAACGGTTCAGTACTTAAAACTCCAATTGTATTCAAGTCGGACGACTTTTTTGGAAATTCTTATATTTTCCGAAAAATGCAAATGGCTTTAAGTATTATCAGAGTTTAGTCTTCGCCTTAACTCTTATTCCGGAATTGAAAATATGTTTAAAGTCCCACATGTCTGCAACGACCGGCGTAATAGAGACGGATACACGCCATGCAGTGTGCGATTGGTGCAATTTTGCCCGGACAGTGTCGTTCTGTAGAAATCCACCTGCCAGGGGTTCTTTTTCGTGCACACGGGACCTCGATTTTCGTACTGTTCATTCAACTATATTCTGTTCCTTGTCAGCTTCCTTCCCGCTTTGCACTTCTGACATTGGAAACCATGCCGGAAAACCCCGAGAAACTTCTTGGGCAACAATGTGTAGCAATATTATAACTTCGACCTAAATATTGTTTTCAAATTCGAAAACAAGTTTTAAATCACGTAATACAACGGAAATAGGAGATATTATATATTAAAATGACCCATGAGTTAGCAGAGACTGGTCATTTACTTTTGTTTGTTGTCAAAAACATATATCTGTTTATGTTTTCAAATTGATATCGTAACGGAAATTTACCGGATATGCTGGGAAGGCCACTGTCCATAATTAGCTAAGTCTTAAGGCATTGGATGTAATTTAAAAAAAACAGCTAATTAATGGGAGAAATCGGGAAATATAAATGAGCAAAATCATTCATGTCAAATCAGATGCCATTCAGATTGTGAGAAGACCATGCCTTAATGTCTTCCGGCTGGACTTCTCTGAGTTGGTTGAGAGAATGAAAGTCATTTGATCTTTTAGTTTTTATATAGACCTTTGCTTGAAAACTGTTTCCTGCTTGATAGCAAAAGTAATTAAGAAAATATTTGTGTTGCTGGTATATATCTGATTGGGCAGCCATATTTATGCCAAAGAACATGAAGTCCAAGATTAGAGAGTTCCAATAATATTGGCGCCAGTCAAACAAAGGAGTGTAGCAAGAATGGTGACACGGGTCGGATGAGGTAAGCTTTCGGTTTCGCTTTGCGCATTCGACCGACGACTATGCTGCAAACGGGACAGAACCCAGTACCCCTGAATAGTGAGACAACGCCTTGTAAAAATATTTATTTTATTATAGGTGGTTGGGGTGTCTTCGCAACGGGTGGGGGAAGAGATGCTTCTCCGGAAGAACCAGACTGTGTAGCTTTTCAGGATGGATGGATTGCTGCGGGTAAAAGTTGGAAAGATTTATTTGATCGTAGTATTATTACAAAGGTAATTGTCGAAACAGTGAAAAAGTTAATAACAGGTTACGTACACGTAGTGAATACAGCGATTTTAAAACTGCCCTAAATACAATAGCTGGTTTAAGAAAACTGGTTTTCATGACGCGAGGGTTTCATGTTTTGCTTGCGCCGTTGGTCTGTTAAGTGCTGCTATCACTGATATGCAAAGGAGGACAGATTACGTCAACAATTTTAATTCACTTTCGTATAAATTTATTTACGTAATAAATTTCTCTTGAGCTCATAAATATTCGGTAGTTATGATAATTTTTTCTCTGTGTGTATAACATGATCTCAATATCTGTATTAACTGTCGTCAAGTGTATATTTCAACTTTGGAAAAGATGATAGCATTTTTTAATAAGACAGACACATTGATATTCTAGGTTTGTCCGAATCGCAGATGGCAAAGAACAGTGCAATACCTAGACGGGAAATGAAGGGTCAGCACCGAAGAGGACTAACCCACATTGACCATTTTCGATATATTTGACTTCAGTGTTTATCGATGATTAAAAATTCTGTAATTCACCAAGATTAGTGATACTTTGACATCCCACGTGCCATGACATGCCTTAATTCATAAGTATACAGTGGACTCTGTCAAATCCGACATCGTACGGATCGACACAGGGTGTCGGAATATCCAGTTTTCTCAAAACCGGAAATATTGTAACTTCGAAAACCGGAAGTATTATTATAGTGTAGATTCGATTCACCAGAATGTTATTCCCTTTAAAAATGATAAACCTTTCTGTGCATTCAAAATTTTATAACATTAATTTTTATTTCATTTAACATGCGTAATGGCGTCGGATTTCACAGAGTACCGGACCGGAGTGATCAGAGGTCGGATGTGACAGAGTGCACTGTATTATTAAGTTCACATTTTTTTCCTGAGATTTTGTGGTTCTAAAGGATTTTCCACTTTTGGGACTCTAACCCGCAAAAACATAAGCACAAAAATGAATAATTGTAATGAAAACATTTTTACTTGAAGACTTCTATTTACTGATTAAACAAAAATTCTAAAATGAGACTCTGTCTTAGTGTAGAAACAGTAGTATGTTTTAAAAAAACTTTGTACGCCCACGTTTTCACGCTGGCGTATATTGTCGTTGCCCCTGTCCGTCCGGACGTCCGTTCAGATTTTGTTTGTGGACACTCAAAAGGTAACAATTTTATCCATTTTGACGAAAGATTTCGGTTCCTTTCAATATTGCATTATCGGACCGTAAACTCATAGATTATGGACCCTGATTGTACGAATGGCCATTCCTCGGACGCAAATAGTGTAGAAGTATGTTATACCAAGGACCTTGTGGACCCTCTACAGGTTACAATTTTTATCCGATTTTGATTGTGGACACTCAAAAGGTCACTCACAATTTTATCCCATTTTGACGAAAGATTTCGGTTCCTTTCGATATTGCATGTATCGGACCGTAACTTCATGGATTATGGCCCTCGATTGTACGTATGGTCATTCCTCGTACGCAAATAGAGTAGAAGTATGTAATACCAAGGACCTTGTGGACCCTCTACAGGTCACAATGTTTTTTCCGATTTTGATGAAGCACAAAATACATGTTCATATCCCTAAGATCTTGGTTTCTTTTGATATTATGGCATAAAATCCTAGATTATGGTCCCTAAATGTAAGAAAAGTCGCTTTTTAGATTGTTCTTTGCCCATCTCTTGCAAAATGTAGGCTTATCCTGCATGACAAAGGCTTGTTTAACATGTAACAGTTTTGATTTATATTCTCAGGGTTTGGTAACACACATGGGTCTACTTCAGAGCTTAATAATTTTTAAGATGTGGGGATGAATCGGTTTTTTAGCTGATTTTAATCTATTTCCATATATCATAAAAGTATGGCAAATTAGGTACAAATGGAAAGTAGAGACATTCCATTCTTACTAGAAAACTATTGGATTCCCTAAATAAAACATGGGGCGGCCACTGGGCCACTTCCAGTTTGAACTTCACCGTCATAGAAAATATAGACACCCCCTTCTTACTATAGAACTGTTGGAATCCCTGAAAAACACCTATGGAGCGCGCAAAGGGCAAAGATGTAAAGGTATCACTAACTGGCAACGCATCGGCTTGTTGTCTGCTCGATTGATGTAGGAACCGCTTTGTATCATCCTCGGTATCCCTAGTGGTTTCATTCCGTTCTACTCCACTAACCCCTGGGTTAATCTATGTTAGGTGTGGGGGGGGGGACGGGACGTTTTCAAGTTATCCGCCCTTGGTGACTGTGCTATTTTTTCCGACCAATCCTATAAATCGTTAATTGAAAAGGAAGTTGGCAAAGGGAAGTAACTGTCATCGGTCAAGGTTAGGAGTTGGCCTAAATGAGAGAAGTCCAAATTATTCTAAATGCGTATTTATTGAAGACCGGACGTTTATGAAATTTCAAGAGTTTTATTGGAAATCGTTTGATGGTTAGCGGAGTTTTACGTTATTGTGAATGAAATTGCCATATGTAAGTTCGATAATAATAAACACAACAGAATGAAACATTTCACACAAAGAACTAATTGTAATAATAATAAAAAAAAGTCAAACATATAGATGTTATACATATTTGAAATCAAGGAAATATACTACAGATTTTGATAATACAAATAAATATAAATCAATTAGAAATATATACATTATTTACATAAATAGTTTAGTAAATGGACATGAATATGGTTATCTACCTTTATAAAAACGAAGGCGAAACTACAGGTTTGTAAACTGTTTTTTGATTTGTTCGTAGACTAGAGCTACAAACAAGGCCAGGGCAGATAATTTGAAATCGTGGAAACCCCATGGATTAACCCAGGGTATAGTGGTATAGAACGGAATGGGTTCACTGGGAATATCGAGGATGGCTTTGTATGTGCTTATCGAATTATTAGCGGTTGTGAGAACAGTAAGAGACTTAAATGTACAGTAGTTAGAATGTGTGTTGTCTAAATATATCAAGAAATCATGAAAGGTATCTTTAGAGTCATGATATTAGAAGTCTGGGGATTTTCAACGATTTCCGATAATTACGGTCAGGAGGGGTTGGGGGCTTGGCTGAGCGCTATCATCATCTCCAATCATACTTTGGACATGATCAATTTTTGTTATTTGTTTAACCTAATCTGGTCAGTTTTTTCCTTAAAACACATACTGTGTTTCGTGGGTGATGCCATATCAGATTTGTGTCTTAAACCAGTCTGGTCCAGACTTTTGTCTAAAATTGTGGGTTAGACCACTTTTCTCCTGAGAATATTGAATAGTGCCTGGAAACTAGAAATGGCTATTATTAACTGGGGGAATACACATACTAGATAGGCCACTATAACACTAATTAGAGGACTCCGAGAGAGCTTTCTAACGGTATAAAAAAGGGTTGGTTTTTTTTCAAAATTGTTGGTTAGCCCAATTTGGTTCTGACCCCTTCAAAGAACAGTTTCAAAATGACTGATTTTGTTAGCATCAAAAGGTTTATTGAAACTATAGCATTAAAAAGGAAAATTATCTAGCTTCAATTGGTGCATTTTTCGTCTGCTTTGAGTAAAACCTATAATTTCTTTTAACTTATGTTTCATAGGCCGAGTTAAAACAAGGTACATACGCTTTTTGCTCGAGAAGCCCGCGTGAGCTAGAAGAACCAATCCGTGATTCCATAGAGTTACACAATATGGGTCTTAAACTGCATGAAATTAGACTGGATGCTCTTCCTTGTTTTTATGTCACAGAATGGAAGCAAAAGTTAGAGCAAGGTAAATGTACTAATCTTTCTCTTGAGGTTTTCAAATCGCGTATAGTCAATGCTCTTAAAGAAGCAGTATGGTTTTGTTCAGTGGCATTGTCAGTCTCGACGTTGTGCGGAGATGCTTGTGGGCGAGGGGATGTGATATTTATTGGCGGAGCTTAGCAGTCGGGTGGGGTGGGGTGGCTCGTGGTTTGTAAACACTAAGATTCTGTTCATAATATTCTTGAAATAAAAGCTACCCCAATACACAATTGACAGAAAAGCAAGCTGTCAAGAAAAGGGACATAACTATGAAAGAGACAATATCGGTCTTATGATTACGTATAGTGTTATCGTGTTATGAAAAGAGCGAGATTTCACATGCCCATTATCAGCCACCATACCTATTTGTTGATAGAAGCGATCTCTTTAAAGATGAGGTGGGTGGTAAGCCCACTTCCCCTATACCCTTCATGAGATTATCCAATTATCTTTTTAAATGAAATGAAATGAAACGAAATGGGTTTAACGTCCTACTGTTCTCCTCTGACTGGACCAATGATGATGGTCATCGATTTCTAAATGCCAAGACTTCGTTAACGTACGCGTCAATATTTACTTGGGCTCTCGGTTTCCTCCTATCCGAACAACTATGCTTTGTACCTTACCAGGCCCTATGTCCTGCATCACTGACAATGGACTTTCTTGATCAACACCGGGGTCGAACACAGGACTTCAAAGTTAGCGAACCAATGTCTTACTCAGTGAGAGATCTTGTTTATTATTCTCTTTACTTATTATTCACAGGTATCGATGATCGAGAAAGTTTAGCTCGAGATATGACGAAATATTTAAAAACACCTACCTATAATACTTTCTATGAAGCACTGAGTAGCGAGCGAAGCGAGGAACAGAAATCACAGATCTGTGAATTAGTATTTAAAGGAATGGAGGAGTGTCTTTTATCTAAATATCCCGGGGACATGAATCCCTATTGTTTTTACACAAGTACGTATGTTCAAAAGGAACAGACAGCGGTGACCCCCAAAAGCATCCCTTACTTAATGTAACCGTTTGTTTATTATTAAAGCAATGCAGTTATTTCCTTGGTGGTTTCATATCTACTTCTGGAAAACTTAAACGTTCAAGTGATTTCGAGCCAAAATATGCAGTCATTTAAAGAAGTTCAAAATGTCATCCTTCCTACAATCGCCGAGAACACGACATTCATTGCTACTACCACTAAGGGTTTCCATCGGTAGCTGGCTTCCTCTTACAGGGCGTAACTGAATTATTTACCTCCAATTATATCAGACACAAGTCCGCGTACTCTGGTCGATTATGGGAAAGGAATAAGAAGTACTGTTGTGTTGTTTAGGGAGTATATTAATCAGTAGCAGATCTAGAAGCTGTGAATTGGTGGGGGAGGGGGGTCCAAATCTAGGGCGCCATCTATAATCCCACCCCACAATGAATGTCAACAAAATACTGGTTTAACACTGAGCGCACCAGTAAAACATAGATCGCCATGTCTATATAGTTGGTCGCCGATCATTTTATGGCCGGAAAGCAGCTGCATACAAGTCGACATCAAGTTTATGTCATGTTATGATTCTTGTTGATTTTATTATTTTTTTGTGAACGTTAGGGTCAGTGGCGTAGCCAGGATGTTTGTAATGGGGGTGGATGGCTTGGATGCCGTACGCATCCTGCGCGAACACACTGAAAGTGGGAGACAGGAGGTTCCCCTCCCCCTCCCCCACTGATAAAATTTTGATAATTTGAGCCATTTCCTTTTATTTGATGTCATTGCTGGGAGCAATTTCCTGTGGGACAGAATTTGAAAATTGAATTCTTAGAAACTGTTTTCTGATCAGACAGAATTGTTCTTGTTAACCGTTATTCTACAGATCTTTGTCTTATAGCAGTATATTTTAAAATGCCGAAGCATATTATAGAGTGGGTGTAATTAATTATTAACGACTCTAATTCAAGGATGTGTTGTCCAGACTGATATGAAAGTTTGTTATCGACGGTATGTATGACCATAGTGTCAATTAGACAAACAAAACGTGTCTTTGGATTTTGTTCTATTTTGTAGTCAAGATGAAAGTAAACCTATCAATAATGGTCACTCTATACCTATACAATATTCGAATAAAAATAAAAAATCCAAATGCCCCGAGAGTGTATTCTATTTTGTTTTTAAAAATTGAAAAGCTTAATATACCTATCAATAATGGTCACTCTATACCTATACAATATTCGAATAAAAGTAAAAAATCCAAATTTTGTTTTTTAAAAATTGAAAAGCTTACTATACCTGAAGAGAAGTATTATAACTCCAACAAAGAAAATAAAAACATCAACCTTAAATTCAATGTTTTCTGCCGAAAGAATATATAAATAATTTGTATCTCTTAAAAAACACTCAAAACTGAAGGTCCCCAAGAACTACATGCTATTCAAACACATATCTAAAGCTCGTCGAATTTTTCAAATTGACAAATTGAACTTAAATATCGGAGTATATCTGTAAATCTTAAGATTTGATCACACATGTCCCAGGCCAATAATATATCAAACCACAAAGCTGAATTATTATATACAGATCAGTTCTCCACGTCGTCGATTTTCAAATTTGATTTTAGGTGATGTTACGTGTATTTCTGCAAGACAGTATAAAGCCCTGTTACGTTCATGTAACAGGAACCTCCTGTCTCCCACTTTCAGTTTGTTCGCGCAGGATGCGTACGGCATCCAAGCCATCCACCCCCATTACAAACATCCTGGCTACGCCACTGACCCTAACGTTCACAAAAAAGAAGCGGGAATCCTCTTAGTAAATTGAATTTGTGTCATTATTTTTATGTCTAAACGTCGGAAAGAGAAGTTGGCAGAAGGTAATCCAGTAATTTACTTAGGCTTCGATATTTATGGTAAATAGACAGCGACTAACGACAAATATAAGATAAAGCTGGATTCTCCTCCAGGCTGACAAAAAAGATTCTCGTGGCAGGGGGCTGGATTATCTTTTTTTTCGATTAAAAATTTTGAACGGTATTTGGAGGAGCAAAATATTGAAATATAAAATAGTTTTAATTTGTTTTCCAAATAAATCATCAAATTACACAAATGAAATGGGGTTTAACGTCCTACTGTTTTGCTCCGAACTGGGCTAATGAAGACGGGCATACGCCATACATTGTGCTATGAGGAAAATTTTGCCCGGACAGCGGCACTATGGCCTGCTCTTATATCGAATTCCAACTGTCAAGGGATCTTTTACGTGCACGCCAATGGATAATGTCACTTGATTACAATGGCATTATATTACCGTGCACGATATTTTTAAAGATAATAGTGTCAAAGTTCGACTTAATGAATACAGAGTTCATCATTTTATCCTAATAATAATGAAATGAAATGGGCTTTAACGTCCTAGTGAACGTCTTAATAATAATGTGCATTTCTTGAAGTTAAATCCAAACATAAGTATACTATGGTAATATGGTTAGTGATTAGTCCTTTAGTTATCTCTGGGATACAACCAAGAAAGTTAATGTTTTATACCTACATACAAAATATTTATAGTTAATTTAATAATGTTTACCCTTATCTATACACCAAAAAGGGTGATTTCAGACTGTCCAGCAATTGTATTTTTTAAAACTGTGCAGATCTTGCCCTAGCCCATGTTCACTATTTATTGTTACAAGATGTATAACATGGTCTGGTTGGCCACGGATAGATCCTTAAAATTAGAAGTAGTATATTGATTGGCTGCACTATTGGCGCTGCTTTGGTTAATCACTTCACATGTGTTGTCTTTAACTCTCATTCCACTGGAGGATCAGTCCAAACCTTTGCGGTCGTCAACTTCCAGCGCACGCTTTCCCTGTTCTGGTAAGGCTTCGTCAATTTTTGAAGTACTGATTGACTGTGAATTTCCAATGTTAGTTCAAATATTATGCGTAATCCTTTCCTTGTTATGCCCCAAAATAAACTTTTCTGATGAACAGTATCTCAGACAAACTTATAATAGGTTTCACTTGTCAGTGTTTAGTATTTAAAAGTTAACTGTTTTGGTCGAGAATGAATCTTTGAAATTGGAAAAAGAATAATCTATGAATCGGTTAGGAAATATCCTTTTTGGGGGTAAAAATTTCGACAAAAAATAATAAATTTCGGGGAAAAGCTTCAAATGTCAAGCGAACGTAACTACTTTTTTGGGGAAATTTAACAAAATTTTTAACGTCTTTTAATTATGACGTCACAATAGGTAAAACGTCATCTTATTGTTCTATCATTGAGCTATTTTATCTTCTAAGAGAAAGACGCTCTGTGATAATTCTGTGATTAATTAAATTTTCTACGTTTTTGTGACTCCAGATAGGAAAGTATAACATCAACTATGACTGTATTGTAAGTATATTTAATTATTTTGTAAAGAATTCTAAGAATTGAAAGAAAAAAAACCGTTAAAATCTCAAATAAGTTTTCAGTATTTTTGTAGTTGAGTTGAGAACAGATAAAAACAAATAGATCAACTGATTTTCTCTGTTATATGTTTTGAATACGGTTTTTGCTTTTTTTTTAAATTAAAAAAGTTTGAACTATAAAGAGTATTTTACTTTCTCTTGCGTCCACTTTTATTTTGTATTATATTTATTCCAGAGAAATACCAGACTATAGTGATAGTAGTTTAGACTATGGTGAAGTATTACGCCAGATAATATATAATGATAATAACATGTTTGTCACATTAACTGATGAAGACTTGATCAACTCTACAGTTAATACTTCTAGTAAGTCTAACACTCTTTTGGTCAACTCTACAGTTAATACTTTTATTAAGTCTAACACTTTACTAGTCAACACTAGTCAACTTCTAGTAAGTCTAACGCGTTACTAATCATGCATTTGATTAAATCACACAAATAAAATGGTTAGAATTATTTATTTATTTGTTGTCAACTTGTCGCTTGACACGAACATACGGTATTTTGTATTTATACTTACGTGTGAAATACGGGGATGGGGAAGGGGGTGGCGGCGTTTTCGCCTACTTTTTGATTCCAACTGCCAAGCAATATTTTGATGTGCAATACATGCACGAAGACCTTTGTTTTACGTACTTTACTTGTAGTGGATTTGAACATTTATTTATTATATAGGGTCAATTATTTATTGGTCTTTTAATTTCTTATTTTCATTTCTTAAAATGTTTTCACTTTTTCAGTTGTAACTTACTTTAAGAAATCCAACCATGGATACGAGAAGATTTGTGAAATGAGAGTTCCAAGATCATCATCTCTATCATCAGCATCATCCAATGGAGATAGTAAGAATATGGACGAAGAATTAGACGACACTTGTCAGCTGAATTTAAACCAAAACCAACATTATTCAGTGATCAACTGGGCTGACGAAATCTCATATGAAAAACCAACAAATATTCCTTATTGGGCATTGATACCTGGATTAGATTTTGATCGAAATGCTAAAGATGATTACTCTACCACAGACAATATTGATGACTTCAATCAAATTCACCATCAATATGTTATCAACTGGGCCGAAGAACCTGTGCATGATGGCCCCGTAGATGTCCCTGACTGGGCTTTAATACCTGCATTTGATTTTAATCGACATGAGAAAGTTGATTGTTCTAGAAGACATTGGGCTACCACAGAAAATATTGATGACTTCAGCCAAATTCACAATCAATATGTTATCAACTGGGCTGACGAACCTGTGTATGATGGACCCGTAGATGTCCCTGACTGGGCATTGATACCTGGATTAGATTACGACCGCCATATCTATTCTTTCGCCCGAGACAATATTGGAGAATTTGACCCAATCTACCATAAATTTGTCATCAACTGGGCTGAAGAACCTATGTATGAAGGAGCCGTAGACATTCCTAGCTGGGCTTTGATTCCTGATTTTAAATTTAATGCCACTACTAAAATCAGCCAAGTAGGATCTTCTCGGGCAACAGGTTTAGATAGCGATGCTAAAGAAAACTTGACAAAAGATTTTATTAATTGGGCTGATGATCTTTCTGAAGATGAAGTCGTTGATGTACCAGAATGGGCGATGAACAGAAACTTATATTTTAACAGACACAGAATCAACTCCAAATCATATTTTATTGATGTTGTATTTGGTTTATCTACTATTTGGGAATAATATGTTTGTGAATTCAACTTAATTGTGAGTATGTTTGTGAGAGAGTTGCATCAAGCGTGAATTCTGCTGTATTTTTGTGCGAGAGTTGTTTCGATTTAATTGTGAATTCAACTGTATGTTTGTGAATAAGAATGGGGTATAGTTGTTTTAAGTGTGAATGTATATGTATATATATGTATACATTTATGAATAAGAATTTGTTGTCAAGTGTTAATTTAACCATTATATTTGTCAATAAGCGTGTTTGAAAGATTTTTTAGTTGTTAATTCAACTATATCCTGTTTGTGTGGTATGAATTAATATTGTAAGTACCAGTCACGGCTGGGTTTAGATGAATGGACATAGAATTAGTTTTAAATTATTGAAATAGAGAGGCATACGAAGAGGAGGAATTTTCTTATTAAGTATTGGGGGGGGGGGGGGGTAATTCATTTATTTATCATTTTGGAATATATTTACAATACGTTATATTTTAATTTTTATACAGTAATCCATATAATATGCAAGAAGTTTTGAATCTTGTAATAAAAATACATAGTTTTTCTTACACTGAAAAAACCCTTGTGTTGGATCTCAACACAAGAACTTGTGTTAAAAATATTTAACACATGTTTATGTTGTATTGCATTGCAATGACACAAGTTTGTGTTCTTTTCAATGTCTTAACACAAACTTGTGTACATTTATAAAATCTTATGTGGTTTTTTTTTCCATATAATTAATTACGTCGACATTAAAGATAACATTTATTATGTTCCTTTATCACATTATGTTTTTTATTTATTGAGAAAATCTGAATGGGATTGGGGAACTGGATTAGGGATCTGGCCTAGCCTATATGTAAAACCACTCTTCCTGAATTTGAATGTCGAGTAATTCACTTGATTTATTTTTTAATATTTCTAATTATCTAAAAGGATATATTAATTATTACAAACATTAAGTAGAAATCGCAATGTATGTATCGTGCGATGCATTTAATAGCTCTTTTAAAACAACGTACTTTATAACAGTATACTGATATAAGAGATCAAAGTTTTAGTCAATTATTATCTAAATATAAACTATTTATTTAATTAGATATAATAAAAGATTATTCTGATTCTACTCTTTGTTTATTTTCACATCTTGTCTAAGACAATATACAGAGACAGGTTATTACAATGTCTGCATTTGGAAGTGTCTGATTGATATCGCCCCAATAAATTTGACACATCAAAGACAATAACAATTGTGTTATATTTACGTTTTAAAAAAATGTTTGAATGGGCGTGGAAATAGTCGAGTTAATCTTTTTATTTAATTTAATTGGTTCATTAATCGAAATTGGAAATTTATTCTTACCTGTAAATGACCAATTAAAATGAATTACTCTTAAAACAAAGAAAGAAATATTTATTGAAGTAATTTTGCGGTATTAAACCCTGTGGTACTGCAAATGTTAACTGTATTATTATGCATTAGTATCGAAAAAAGTGATATTGTTGTGAAAAAAGTTTGTTCAGAAAATAAGAATATCAGGTTTGTGATTTTGGTATTTTTTAATACAATGTATTTATAACGCAAATTTTTCGTTTCGGTTAAAACAAAATATACGTCCATTTTAATTGGCCGAAGGATGTGTGACTAATAGAAATATGGCGGGCGGACAAACTGACCAAACAGTATATTTCGAGGTATTTGAGGTAAGCTAATTTAATATTATATCATAACTGCATGTGCATAATTGTGTTTCTGTTTGATTAAATATTCAAAAAATCATTCTTAGGATACAACCTCGACACCAGTCCGCCCTGAATTGCAATGTTTGTTTTGTGTTCTGGGCGCCATTTTGAATATAATACAATCCAGCGATAGTGTAGTCTAATTCCTTTAAAAGGGAATCCGAATTTGTTAATTTTCTGCAATATCACTTCGGTGGAAGCGGACGTTAAATAAAGCTATTTCACGTACAAAGACCTACAATAAAATCCAGGTGAATTGGGAAAAATATTCATGTATTTTCTTGATGAAGAGTAGCTATTTCAATTTGTAAATGCCCAGTCATCTTAGACAAATAATAATTCCAACTTCAAATCAGTTGTATTTATTCAAATCATACCATGAAGAATTGTATTTTTCCACTTGCATAATAATAAAAACTTGACTTTTATTATTTTATTTCTTCAGGCCAAGAGCATGGAAAATTGGTGATTGCCTTGTATCACTGCTAACTATAAATCACAGGGAGCCTTGGGCAGAAATGATAATATGGTTCTCAGATATGTTACTGTGTACAGACTGAACAGAAAATATTTATACACTTGCTATTACAGTACTGGCCAAATTAATAGCAATTTTTTCTAAAAACGTTGCAGAAGTAACTCACTAAAATTGAAGTATGAATAAAATCATACACCGTGAATATATTGAACTGAATATTCTTACACATAACCATAGGCCCGATATACGCGAACATCAAACCGAGATCTTTGATACATAAACATATAATATTAAGTTTTTTTCAAAACCGGATACAAATCGTTAGAGGGACCACAGCCTTCGATCCGATTATCACAAAATTCAAACCCAGGGTGTAACGGTGTATATTTAAACGGTTTTTAAAATCAGGTATAAACTGTAATTTTTGTTACACCCAGGGTCCACAATCTAGGAGGTTACGGACCGATATGTGCGAATATGGAAAGAAACAAAAATCCGTGGAATATAGACATATATTTTAAGTTTGATCAAAATCGGATAAAAAAATTGTGACTTCTACAGTGTCCACAACCTTGGTATTATATACTTTTATACTATTTGCGAACGAGGAGCGGGCAGTTTCAATCCGATTTTCATGAAATTCGAACCCAACCATCATAAGGGTGGAATGGTGATATGTTAGAACAGCTTTTAATATTGGATAGAATGCCAATATCGAAAGGAACCGCATGTTCACAAATAAATTGTGGGCTGACAGGGGCGACTCGATACACGTCCACTTCAAAATATGGGCGTACAAAAATAGCTCAGCATGATAAAACTTGTGTTTTGGAAGACTAAACAACTGATATCAAAGACTTTATATGAAATGAGATTTTTATTTTAGAAATTAAAATGTTAAGTTATTTGATACTCCCACTGGCCGGTTAATAGTTGTCAACGCTTATGTAATTTATATTAGGGCAATGCTACTCAAGACGGACATGTTGTTTAGATCAGCATACCAAGCAATTAAAATCAGTGAACCGGACCAAACCCAAACATCCAAAATTTAGCACTTTTTCCTAGATAGTCCTAGCACTGAGTTATCACTGTTTGTAATTTTGACAAGTGGTGTGCATAGTGGTAACCAGGGCACAAGTATATTCAAGACTTGGCCTCCATTTTCCATTTTTAAATCAAATTTTTAAATGGCGAACCGTTCTAATCTAATTAATATAGCGAGTATCCGATGATTATGGTTTTCTTAAATCTCTAATTAATAGTTTATATAACATTTCAGGCCTAAAGAAAGACATGCAATAGGCAGATTTAGCTCTAGCATAATGTATGTTTAAGATGATTTTGATTTTTTGAAATAATCTCAAGAAACAGTATGACAACTCGATTGAAGGTAAGTTACGGTTAGAATAATTATGTCAAGATACATGGGACTCTGTGATCTTTATTGTCTGGATTAATATTAGCATACGCCCACATTTTGGAAATGAAATGGGGTTTAACTTCCTACTGTTCCGACTGGGCTAATGAAGACGGACATACGCCATACAGTGTGCTATAAGGGAAATTTTGCCCAGACAGCGGCCTACTCTTATATCGAATTCCAACTGCCAATCTTTTACGTTCACGCCAATGTGTACGCGGGACCTCGGTTTTTTGTTCTACCGAACTACTATAGACAGCTGTATTTGTCAAGGGGAAACAACGCCGAAAAATCACGATGAACTTTCTTGGCCAACACCGGAGAGAACCCGCGACCTCCAGACTAGCGAGCCAGCGTCTAACTCGCTTAGCCACCGTGGCTCCCTAGGTGTGAAAGATTAGAACTGTGAGAGGATGTCGAATCTGCGAGGATGACTCTGTTGATTCTAAGACTTTCTGCTCCAGAGATATAATATGTGCCCTGCAACGCCTGTGTACTCAATCGAAAATGGATTTCTTGAAGACATCCAAGTTTTCCTTTCGGATAAGCTGCTGACTATGGCTACCGAGAGACAGCTGTTGTGTAGGCGTATATTTGTATATCCACGCTATGCATGGCTATCTTTATTATCGTTTAATATTATTATTTTTCAGAATAAGATTAAAATATGTGCTTTCTGCTTCTTTCTGTCAGTTGCTTGACATTTGGTGTTTTCAATAAGTTGCAGCAATCTCTATGGCAATCATTTTTTTTTTCGAGACAAAGCTGCCGTGTGGGCGTATTTATAACTGTGTTCTTTAGAATTTAAATTATTTAAATCCCCCCCCCCCTCATCCAAAGTATGGATCAAAGAAATTGCGCATCTTTGCTTGGCCGCATAGGACAATGTCCGTCATCGGCCTCAGTCAAGACATTCGCCAAATGAACATCTACTCAAAGTTTAAACATTCTAATGTCTTCACCAATCAAATTGTTCATCATCGAACATAGCCAAGATATTCGTCCAATGGACATCTACACAACGTTTGGATATTCTATCTCAGTTCGAAACAGCTTTACTGTGTTTCAATTTATCAATTTCGTCCATTTTATTTCAAATGGATTACGTTAAGGCAATTATTCTCAACTAGTGTTTTATTTCAAATGGATTACGTCAAGGCAATGATTCTCAACCAGTGTTTCTTGACACACCGTGTGCCGCGAGATCTTCCTAAGTGTGCCGCGAAATTTTGAACGGTACACTAATAAAATGCGAAAAACCAAATGATCCCAAATGAATATTCACTCGTGTCTACTGTTAAGTGCATAGCTGTGGTTTTTCTTTTAGTTTGAGTCATTCTGTGTCATGACTAGTCTCTGTCTATGGTTATATGCCGTCTGACTTACCATGTTTTTATTTTGCAAAATTCAAATAGTTTTCATATATACTTAGCTAGGTGTGCCACTATTTTTCTATGTGTCCCAAGGTGTGTAGTAGGCAAGAAAAGGTTGAGAACCACTGGGTTAATTCATACACGGGGATCACGTGGCTAAGTGGGTGTTCGATCCCTGCATTGGCCGAGAAAGTTCATCTAGATTTTCCGGCGTGGTTCTCCCTTGTCAGTGATGCCGGACGGAGGGGCTGACAAGGAAAGATGTCTAGTCGTTCGGATGGGACGAAAAACCGAGGTCCCGTGTACACATTGGCGTGCACGTAAAAGATCCCTTGGCAGTTGGAATTCGATATAAGAGTAGGCCGTAGTGCCGCTGTCCGGGCAAAATTTCACTCATAGCACACTGTATGGCGTATGCTCGTCTTCATTAGCCCAGGTTAGGAGCAGAACAGTAGGACGTTAAACTCCATTTCATTTCATTTCTAATTCATACACAATATATACATGGTATACACCATGTGTAGGTCAATGCACATAATATATACATATACACCATGTGTTAGTCCATATTACACCCATGTATCCTTTTTTATTATTTTTCAGAAAAAGATTAAAACATATGCTGGATTGTTTTTGTCTGTCGGTTTCTTTGTTTTTGGTGTTTACCACTTGATACCGTGTGCGGCAGTCTCAAATAAAAGGACGTTTGTGTATACGTGCAAAAAGGGGGTGTTATGTGGAGGCTGGGCCGACCGACAAAAGGGTTTAATAGCTGTTTATCTATTGGCTAATGCTACCCAATCTGGATTTAAAATAGAGATTGACAAACCTTGTGACGTAACCTCATTTTTACAACCGAAATCACGAGATTGGAGACTGGAGAAAGATAAGACAAAGAATCTGTGTACAGAAGAAAGTGCTTATATAGACGGATACGGGAGAGAACTCCGTCAAAATCTAAAAACAAAAAACATTTCAGATTTCTTCAATAAGGATATTAATTATTTAACAATAAATAGTGACTTTAGTCATTATATTCGGCAAAACAAACTTTACAGTCACAGTTTAAATTGGTTAAAAAGACTTAGCATGGGGCAAATATTTGCTACAATTTGGCAGGAAAATATGGCACTTACCGCAGACTTGAAAAGAATTTATAAAAACTTTATAAAAAGAACTGACGGCAGGAAATTGGTTTGTGCTCAGGTCCGAATTGGACGCAACCCGTCCATACCCAGCGATACCGTTATACGTAATGATATTGATCACGTAATTAAAATTTTAGATTTTTTTCGAAAGTATGATGATCCTAAACTTTTTAGAATATTTGTAACAACTGATGCTGAACAAGTCAGAGTAAAAGTTAAGCAATCATTCCCAGACGTTGTCATAGATACAGAAGGTGTTATAGCACACGTGGACCGAGAACAGGACCAAAAGAAATCTTGTGAGGGATTTAGGAAAGTTATTTTAGATCAGCATATTTTAAGTACCTGTAATGTGCTGGTGATTAGTTATAGTGGTGTTGGACGTCATGCTGCCTGGATCCGAGGTACACCAACAGACTTGTTTTGCTTTATTGGCGGGAACGTTATTCCATGTAATTTCACTCATGATATGTTTCAGCCGTCCATCTGGTGAGGTCATACACCGTCTGGTGTGTTCATCTAGCCCACGGGGGGGGGGGGCTGGGGTCACGGTGGCTAAGTAGGTAAGACGCTGGCTCGCTAGCCTGGAGGTCGGGTGTTCGATCCCTGCATTAGCCGAGAATGTCAATCCAGATTTTCCGGCGTGGTGCCCCCTTGTCAGTGATGCAGGACGGAGGGACTGACAGGGACAGTCGTCTAGTTGGGACGAAAAACCGAGGTCCCGTGTACATAAAAGATCCCTTGACAATTGGAATTCGATATAAGAGTAGACTGTACTGCCGTTACCCAGGCAAAATTTCCCTCATAATACATTGTATGGCTTATGCCCGTCTTCATTAGTCCAGTTCGGAGCAGAACAGTAGGACGTTAAACCCCATTTCATTTCATTTACCTAGCCCGCGTGTTGAAAATCCGATTCCATAATTCCATCCCCGACATTTTGTCTTTAAGTTTGAATATCAGTTATCATTCCACCTAGATGCATTTAAGATTTGTATAAGCAATAACTTTGGCCTTGGCTCAGGTTCTAGATTTTCTTTATTTTATTCTGAGTATAACCAGACACTGGATGAATATACTAACACGCGAGTCTTACGGCTTTACCACAGGCTATGAATAGTGATAATATCAGTGATATTCTGGGTACTATAGATTGAAAATGAATATGAAATGAATGGGGTTTAACGTCCTATATTTCTGCTCCGACTGGTCTATTTTAGAGGTACATATGCCCAATCTGATTAAAATACAGATCTATATTTCGTTTCGTTTTTTTATACTTTCGATGGCCTACACTACATGAAGGTCTGACAAGTTATAGCGATAGGTCACGTCAGGGGTCAAAAGACCGACTTATGACCTATGACGTCGGACATTTGATTAACCAATCAGCATTGATGTTAATAGTGGATTACCCACAGTTCCGTGCAAAACACGCCCAAGCTCGCCGTAACAGACCGTTTCATTGGCTTATCCCTGACATCATTCAGAACACGAGTTAAATAACAACTCTTCCAGATCCAAGTTTAGTCAGGCCCGTAGCCAGCTTGCTAGCTTCGGAGGGGCAGTGGAGTTTTTAGGGGGGGGGGGCACACCCACCTGGCACAGTCTACAGTAGGTATTTTAGAGCTATGGTCGGCAATTTTTTTTTCGGGGGGGGCATTGCCCACCCTTGCCCCCTCTGGCTACGGGCCTGAGTGTAGTAAAGACAAGTAAAACGAAATTTTGAACGTTAAAAGCGAAACGAAATATAGGATCTGTGTTTTAACCAGATTGTACATATTATGCCATACAGTGTGCTACTGCCTGTACTCTTATTTCGGCAAGCCAATGTGTATACGGGACCTATACGTTGTTCCTTGCCCGTCCCAAACCACTGACATGGTGGAACAAGGCAGGAAAAGGAAAATCCCGAGGAACTTTCTCGGTCAACACTGGGATCGAAAACATGACCCCAGGGTTAGCAAGGCAACATCCTACTCACTGAGACACGTACGACTGCACCCACTATAAATTGATTATTAGTCTTGAAGATTCTTGTCTGCGTATGACCGCGGCTGTTTAAAACGTTTTAAATGGAATATATATAATTTGTGTGACGACTTGTCTGGATTTATGTGACCGCTTTTCTAGAATGTGGGGGGGGGGGCGAATGCGCGCTGTTTATAAAGTCCGTCAATGAGTCAACTGGCGTGGTTTCGATTTCCCGGTTGTACGTGACAAGGAGTAGGGTCACCTATCAAACATCATGGGGTTTTCCCCGGTTCCTCAGGTTTCCTCCCACTGCTAAAGACCCCTACACGCATGCGAATTCTTGAAATAAAATTGAACCATATGTTAGTCCCGAAATCACACACTCTCTCTCTCTCTCTCTCTCTCTCTCTCTCTTTCTCTCTCTCTTTCTCTCTTTCGCGCGCGCCCGCGCTCTCGCTTTTCTAGAATTTATGTGACCTCTTTGCTAGAATTTATGTGACCACCTTACCGCAATTTGTGCGACTGCCTTGCTAGAATTAATGTGACCGCCTTGACAGAATTTATGTGACCGCCTTGACAGAATTTATGTGACCGCTTTGCCGGAATTTATGTGACAGCCTTGTCGGAATTTATGTGACCGCCTTCCTGGAATTTATGTGACCGCCTTGCTAGAATATATGTGACGGCCTTGCCGGAATTTATGTGATGACCATTTTCTTAGAATTTAAGTGACCACCTTGCAGGAATTTATACGACCACCTTACAAGAATTTATATGACTGCCCTGACAGAAGTTTTGAGAATAGAAAACTCACGTAGTTCAAGTAAAGAAACGTGTTCTTGTCAGAGATTGCAGTCAGATTTATTTTTAAATACCACAGAACAAGCCCGATTTGTACAAACACTAATTCCCTACCCATTGGGGTGTTTCCTACATCACGTGGTGTTAGCGTACGACGATTTAAGAAACTAAATTCAAGAAATCTGCTTTTTATTGGCTATAAATAGAATATATATATATTTAAAAATGAACTCCTGCAGACGTTTTACTATGTCTGGGAACCCTCCATTTTCGGTCCATGCGCCACACCTTTGGACATGTTTGGGTAAAATATCTCCTAAAGACTTCCAGCCCGCCAGATCTTTCAGAGCCATGGTGATTATGCCCACAACGTTTGTGCACAATTATCAAGACTGTGGGTGTTATTTATTCGACTGTGTTAAAGCATTAAATTAGTTGTCAAATATTTTTTGTACCAAAAATAAATTTGTTATTGATTATTGATTTGTGCGAAACAAATGGCAAATAAGCCCTCTTTTTATATTGTCGCCGCCCCCGTCCGTCCGTCGGTCCGGCCTCCACAATTGCTTGTGGACGCTCTAGAGGCTAAAGTTAATATCCGATTGACTTTAAATTTATACACAGTGTTTAAGGTAATGAGACAAAGAATCCTATTGATTTTCAGCGATTTCCGATTTATTACTGCCAGAGTTATGGCCCTTGATCACTTTTAAAAATCTTGTGGACGCTCTATAGGCCAAAGTTAATATTCGATTGATTTTAAATTTATACACAGTGTTTAAGGTCATGAGACGAAGAAGTCTTTTCATTTTTAGCGATTTTCGATAATTACTGCCAGAGTTATGGTCCTTGGTCACTTCAAAAAATCTTGTGAACGCTCTAGAGACCAAAGTTAATATTCGATTGACTTTAAATTTATACACAGTTTTTCAGGTCATGAGCCGAAGAAGCCTATTGATTTTCAGCGATTTCCGATAATTACTGCCAGAGTTATGGCCCTTGATGACTTTGAAAAATCTTGTGGACGCTCTAGAGGCTAAAGTTAATATCCTATTGACTTTTAAATTTATACACAGTGTTTAAGGTCATGAGACGAAGAAGTCTTTTCATTTTCAGCGATTTTCGATAATTACTGCCAGAGATATGGTCCTTGGTCACTTCAAAATATCTTGTAAATGCTCTAGAGGCTACAGTTAATATCCGATTGACTTTAAATTTATAGTGTTTGAGGTCATGAGCCAAAGAATCATATTGATTTTCAACGATTTCCGATAATTACTGCCAAAGTTATTGCCCTTGATCATTTTTTATTAAAAGTAACCTTTTTCTTATTAAAAAGGGGCTATTTATATTTAATTGACTTTGGTGGAAACACTGGGTCAATATAAAGGACTTTGAAATGGTTGAATCAAAAAATGATGTATCACTACGCCGTAATGTAATCAGGTTCAGTAAAAGTGAAATCTATAGCAAAGAATTATATTGAAAAGTTAAAATACGGGTTATCGTGTAATGCATGAGCGGAAAGTATATATTTATTTATCCTTCTTTCAATATATTACTTATTCCCTGGTACATTCATGATTACAGGGTTTAGAAGAGATTTATTTCTTTTCTCAAACGAAAGAGTGTTTGAGAAAAGAAATAATTATGTCGCTTTCAGACAAAACCTAAATTCTGAAAATAGATTACTTTCCATTTATTTTCTTTCTCGAAGGTCCGGCCCGTGGTTTCACTCCCCAGAGTCGTGGTCATCGAACGATTTTTCTTATTGTATATAATATGCTTGCTCGATTCTCCTTTATTTTATGGTGCCTTATTGTATGCCAGGCTGAATTCCGCTCAAGTCGTCATAATATTACGGTTCGATGGATTTCGAGAAATGTTTTTAAAGAAATGTTATTTAAGAAATGTTATTTGGAGAAATGTTTTTTGGAGAAATGTTTTTTGGAGAAATGTTTTGTAAGATTTGTATTTGGAGATTTGTTGGAAATTTGTTCCAGATTTGTTTTTCGTTCTATGTCTCTGAAATGTAAATGTAGGGTAATTAATTTTGATTTCTAAAATAAATTTTATGTTTATATTAAAATGCAATTACAATACATTTTACAAATCTGATATGACAAATGTCTGACATGTAAAACAAATATTGATTTTAAGATACAAATGTTAATTTTAGTGTACAAATGTCGAAATACGACAACAAATGAAGAAATAAGAATTAAGGACTATGAATTAAGAAATATAAGGACTAAGAACACTGAATAAAGAGCTGTTTGGTCTTCCATGGATTAAACGTTCCGGAATTGAATTCACTCAATCTCAAAAATAGGGACAATCGAATGCAAATGGGGATTTCGAACAACAACGCATGCGCCGATAGCATAAACATATATCTCAACCAACCATGAAAGCTGACATGGATTCGCAGTGCTGAATTACGTCACGATTCTACATGCACCACCTCCGTCGTCGGGACTATCAGAACTGTGACAGTACTGAATCCCGCGCAACTCAACTGCAATTCTTTCAATTCGGAACATAATGGACTGACAATTGAGCGTCCCAATCTTTTCTCCAATGGCCCTTTTCAAAAGATAACATTAAGACCTGACCATCGGCCCTTATTGTCCAAGTTTGTCTGGCGTGGACACTGTTTTAACTCTCTACTCTAGGACTTGTTTAATTACGGATACTATTTTTAGTACCCAAATGTAAAGTGCGACCAATAAGT